CTTCTAGAAACCAAAAGAGTCAGAGAATACTCCAGGAAAGTGTACTAGAGTGTTTGGGGAAAACACTGGAACAAAAGCCTCTCAACATCAAGATTTAAGTCACTGTGAAAAGCTTAAGAAACTCTCATTAGCCTGAAACATAAGAACTGAAGTCTGTGCCTGTACTGGTTTTACCTCAGACGTTTCGGCCCCTGATTTCACCTGACCTTTCCCCTCTATGTAATATAAAATATTTTATTTTTGAATTTCAAAAAACCTTGAGTTGTTTAAGTTAAAATGAACTCCTGGTCCTTCCCTCAAGTTCCTGGGCTGAGCCCCACAACCAAAATATTTCCTCTGACAGGGTGGCACAGCCAGAGTTCTTCAGCAAAGAATTACCAAGAATTCAGCAAAGAATTACCAAGGCAGCTCAGTCAGTAAAGGGAAAGAAAAACAGAGGGGAAACCTTGCCTCTGAGGGAGGGAAGTAGATGGGGCCATCATAGAGGGGGATGCTATATCTTTTATCAGGGATGCAAGGGAGGAGCCAGCTCCAGGGATTCGCAAATAGAAGCTACTCTGTCAGAGCAATGGGAACCCTGAACTCCCTGGCTGAGTTAATAATAATGGGGATTTTACAGTCCTGGCCCAGCCTGATTGGTTTCCCAACTGTCAGACCAGGGCTGCTCATAACAGGAAGCCAGGGCAAAGGAGGACATGCTACTCCAGCCCAGTGGGTCTCACCCTTCTCAAGGAGTCTGCCACCGCAGTCCAGGAACAGCTTACAAAATGCTGAGTGCCTTCTTGATTGCCCAGCTGGCCCTGTTGCTGAGCAGGGTGGGGCCAGGCCTGGTAAGTGGGGCCAGGGAGCCAGTGGTGGACATGCGGGATTAACTGGGGCTTCAGGTGGGGCAGGAAGTACTTGCTTTGAAAATGTATGGGTGGCATGTGAGAGGGGGCTGGACTTGCCTCCATCAGCTGCCCCTCAGTTTAGAAGCCTTTGGAGACAGATGACCAAGCCTGGCCAACTTGACTCTTTGGGGGGGTGGGGGTGAGTTATTTCTGGCAAGACCCAATATTGGCAAGCATTGATCAAAACTGTGCTTCTGAGCCTGTAGAAGTAGGAGCTGGCAGATGCAGTCTTTGCCTCGCATGGCTGGTGTGTGGTCTACAAGTGGTTCCCTCTCAAACAGTCCCTTAATGGTAGTACTTCACATAGGGTTGACAACCTCCAGATGGCAGCTGGAGATCTCCCACTATTACAACTGTTCTCCAGGGAACAGAGAGAGTTCACCAGGGGAAAAATGGCTGCTTCGGAAGGTGGACTCTATGGCATTATACCTCACTGAAATCCTTCCCCTCCCCAAACCCCACACTCCTCAGGCTCCACTCCCAAAATCCTCAGGTATATTCCAACCTGGAACTGGCAACCCTAACTCCACAGTCAATGTGTGTGTGGCCTTTTGTTGGTGTGCAAAAAAAGTGGTTGTGTAAGGGGGAGTCTTTGGATTACTCCCATTGCTGGCAGGCCCATAGCTACAGTGGGGCATATCGGGGCTAGCCCCCCTGACATACTGGCAATGCCCCATTGCTTCCCATCCAGCCTAGGGCCCCTGAGCAGTGGTAGATGTGGGGAAGGAGCCAGGTATTCCTTTAATTCGATTAGCCAGTGCCCCCTAAGAAATTTAAATGCCCCCCCTACTTAAAAAATCCTAACTACGGGCCTGATTGCTGGTAACTCTAAGTTCCCTTGCTTGAAAGCCAGTCGAATCCAACTCTAGGGGACGGTGCTCATCTCCGTTTCCAAGCCAAAGAGCCAGCGCTGTCCAAAGACTTCTCCATGGTCATGTGGCTGGCATGACTAAACACAGAGGTGCAACGAACACTGTTACCTTCCCACCGAAGCGGTACCTATTTATCTACTTGCAATTTCTTGCTTTCAAACTGCTAGGATGGCAGGAGCTGGGGCCAGAAAGTGACACGGCACTCGGGTCTCAAACTGCCGAGCTACCGACCTTCCAGTCTGCAGTTCAGCGTCTTAACCTATGAGCCATCGCGGTCCTCAAGTGCAGTACTAGAGAGAAGTTAATTTGGGGAAATGAGAAAGACAAATTAGTTTAGGTATGACAAGAGAGGGAATTTCTGCAGGGAGATCCCAACTGTGCTATCAGTGAGAGGGATAAGGGCCAAGGAGCATGAACAATCATGAGTGGCAGATTTATTTGTTTCTACCCCATTTTTCTCTCCAATAGCGACCCAAAGCAACCTACAATATTGTTCTCCCCTCTTTCATTTTATTTTCACAACAGCCCTGTAAGATAGGTTAAGGTGAGAATGTGTGAGTGCCCCAAGATCACCCACTAAGCTTCTATGGCAGAGTGAGGATTTGAATCTGGGTTTCCCAAATCCTAATCAAACACACTGACCACTCCACCATGCTGGCTTCATGGTTTTATTAAGTGTTCAAAAAGTTGAGCAGTAGGCAGCGCCTCTTGGGCTACTAGGCTGCCCTGCATGAGGGAAGGGCATATTTCCCCTACCACATGAACACAGAGGACTACATATGACCCCTCAGTTTCCTCTACAGAATCGGGAGCCCATCAGATATGTCCAAGGTTTGCTCTCATTTGCCACCATTCAGTGCCCATGAAGGAAACCAGGTTGCAGTAAAACCAGAGGTGTACCTATGCAGTAAAACCAGAGATGTACCTAAGGAAGCATTTCAGGGTGCAGGGATGTAGATCACGGTAAGCAAAAAATTATTGAAGCAGAACAAGAGATGCCATTGCTCTGTGCAAACGTCTCATTTATGGCTGAGAAAAGGCAAGTGGCAACCAAGGTGTAGACTGATAGATACGTAAACAAGATTTCTTTATGATAAACGTGAAGGCAGTTAACGCTGTGCTCTACAGACAGTAAAGTACCAAACCCAAACCAAAAGTTTTCAGCCCCAAAGGTAAACTAAAGGTAAAGGTTCCCTTGTTCGAAAGCCAGTCGAATCCGACTCTAGGGTTGCGGTGCTCATCTCCGTTTCAAAGCCGAAGAGCCAGCGCTGTCCAAAGACTTTTCCGTGGTCATGTGGCCGGCATGACTAAACACCAAGGCGCACAGAACGCTGTTACCTTCCCACCGAAGTGGTCCCTATTTATCTACTTGCAATTTCTTGCTTTCGAACTGCTAGGTTGGCAGGAGCTGGAACTAGAGACGGGAGCTCACTCCGTCATGCGGCACCCCTGGGTCTCGAACTGCTGAACTACTGACCTTCCACAGCCTGCAGTTCAGCGTCTTAACCACTTGAGCCACCGCAGCTCCAAACCAAATGGCAAAATGGTGTAAATTAATTAGTCCTCTTGCTTTAGAAAGCAGTCTCATTTCTGCTATTCTGATAAAAGTACATATAAGCTTTCCCGGGGAAGGAGGCAAATAGATCAGGAAAGCAGCGCAGGGTGGAAGACTAAACTCCTGGAGTGACAGCTGTTCTCCAGACTGCAAGGATTCATGCTGAGTGAGCAACATCTAAAAAACGACAGCTCCCGACTTGGGAATTTCCTGTGCTCAATCCTAGTTAGGTCCTTAGAAGTCTATGCCGTTCCCACCCCCCCCCCCTCGCAGTCTTGTCTCCCTCTTGTCCAGCTTCTCCACCATCTCTCTTGGCTCCCTTCATCTCTTTGCATCAGAATAGTCACCAAGTCACGCATTACAAAGTCCTTGTCCCTTTCCTTGTTGGGTCAACACATTATCTGGAAGTTTGTGCTTGGAACTTTATTCCCAGTAGGGTTGCCAACTCCAGATTGGGGAACTCCTGGATATTTGAAGGCAGTGTCTAGGGATGGTGGGGTTTGAGAAGGGGAGACGGAGACCTCAGCAGGGTATGATGCCACAGACTCCACCCTCCAAAGCAGCTGGTTTTGTTTTTTTCCAGGCGAACTGATCTCTGTATCAGTTCTAATTCTGGGAGAACCTTAGGCCCCATCTGGAGGATGGCAACATGAATTATATGGGGGGAAAGCAGAATATATTTAATAAATTATGCAGTCCAAAAGTATGTTTGAGATCTAGCTGAATTAGCAACACTTCTTCTGAGTGCAGAGTTCAGGTTTCTTGGCCCCATCCTGAATTTTATACACACCTGAATCCTCCTAACCCCCAACCCACCTTCCTGCTGACTTCTTGTATTTCCTCTTTCTGGGCCCTGTGGAACCAAGGCTGCTGCTCCTACACAGATCCATCGTGCTGGATACTGTTCGTTCTACGACACGTGTGGCAAGAACCCCGAGATTAATAATGGCATTCTTACCCCCACTGTGCCTTGCGTCTCCAACACACAAGCCCGGCAGCTTTCTGGCTACCACCTTGAACTCCTGAAGACGACCTGCCCAATGTTATACAAAGGGGCCAATGACACCTTTGCCTGCTGTTCCATTCTACAGCTGGGAGCGTTGAAGCTCAGCCTCACCATCTCCCAAGCGATTCTGTCCCGATGCCCATCATGTGCTGAGAACTTTGCCAACATCTACTGCCAGAACACCTGCAGCCCGAATCAAAGCCTCTTCACCAATGTCACTCGTGTCTTTAACACCACCACCATCTTCGACATAAAAAAGCAGGGCGTCTTGGAGTACCAGTGCTACTACAAACAGGATTTTGCTGACCGGTCCTTCAACTCTTGCAAGGGTGTCCGTCTGCCTGCCACTGGTGGCTATGCGATTGGTGCCATGTGTGGCAAATACGGGTCCACTTTGTGCACCACTCAGCGGTGGCTGGATTTCCAGGGGGACTCAAGCAATGGGCTGGCTCCTTTGGCCGTCTTGTTCAAGTTGGTGTCAGATGACACCGTCGTTGGGGATGACATTGTGCCACTCAATGCGACTACTTGGAAGTGCAGTGAACCCGTGAGAGGGAGTGGAGACAGATGCTCCTGCCCAGACTGCCCTGATTCTTGCCCTCACATCCCATCTCCCACCCCTGCACCTCCACCCTTTAAAGTAGGTAATATGCGTGGATCCTTATTTCTGTGCTTGCTTCTGTTCTGCCTTCTCACGCTGCTTTTTATGTCTTTCCTGGTGTGGCGATGTTGCTCCTCAGCTAAGAAATCAAAAGATCAGAGCCTCAAGATGGTGAGCAATGGGTTGACCTCTTCTGAAAAGCTTAGCCGGGCAATCCAGAACTTCCTGACCAGAGCTTTCAGCAGCTGGGGCATGCTGGTGGCCTCTTACCCTATTACAGTCATTGTCATTTCAACAGGGGTGGTGGTTGCGCTCTCCAGCGGAATAGTCTTCATCCAACTTACCACAGACCCTATAGAGTTGTGGTCCTCCCCTGACAGCCGGGCCCGGCAGGAGAAGGACTTCTATGATCAGAACTTTGGGCCTTTCTTCAGGACCAACCAGGTAATCCTGACAGCCAAAGGCCATCCCAACTACACCTATGATTCTCTCATCCTGGGCAAGAAGAACTTCAATGGGATTTTGTCGATGGATGTGCTAAAGCAGTTGTTGATCCTGCAGTCAAAGCTGCAAAACATTGAGGTCTGGTCTGAAAAGCATGACAGGAATATTTCTCTCCAAGATGTCTGCTATGCACCTCTGAACCCCCAAAATCCCAGCCTCTCTGACTGTTGTGTCAACAGCCTGTTGCAGTATTTCCAGAACAATCTCACTCATCTGGAGATGACGGCGAACCAGACAATAAACGGACAGCAGGGCACAGTGGACTGGAGAGATCACTTCCTCTACTGCATCAAGTGAGTGACAGATTATGGCTCATGTATACCACAGGCAAGGAGGGGGCTGGATGTTAAGTGAGGTGGCTAAATATGCCCCAGTGTGGAGACTGCATAGATTTGTTCGGGTTCGGGTCTGGCTGATTCCCATGTGGGGAGCCTGGAGCGAATTCCCACCCCCTGTCAGTTTTCCTAGCAAGCAATTCAAGGTAGATGGTTCCTTTCCTGTAAGGCATCCTGGTTTCATATGTAAAAGCCAGGGTACCTGCTTAACTTCCTCTTTTCTCATGACAAACTATGATCAGACAACTACAGCATTGTTTGGCCCACCCAGGTTGTGTGCTGCACCAACACACAATGCAGCTACTTTATACCCAGTCAGACCTTCGGGCTCCTAAGGTCAGAGAACAGAGGTTACAAGTGCAAGCAGGTCTTTAGCAGCTAGTCTTCCCCAACCCTGTCTTAGGGATCTTTTAAGTTTGTATATACACAAGTGTGTGTGATTGGTGTGATATTTTTGTGAAATAAGATAGAACCCTTCCAAATAATAAAGCTGACTTTACCGACTACCTGAAGGGGCAAAGATGAAGAGAGAGAAAGAGACGAAAATCACAGCAGCTCTCTTATATTAAGCAATGATTTCTTATTCTGCTGTTCTTCTCTGCCTACAAGTCATTTTTACATCTCAATGGCAGCTATAAATTTCCTAAGCACATTATTCTGCCCACAATTAGTTTCAATGGAACCCACCTGTGAATGTTTGTGTACAGCACCCCTGAGGAAGAGAAACCGAACTGGGAGAGAAAAAGGGGGTGGGGAAGTCACACTTTTCAGGGGCATGAGGAGATACTGAGAGAAAGAAGCTGTACTTATGGAAGCTCGGATTTGGGTGTGTGTGTGTGTGTACAAGCACATATGACAGGAAAAGAGGCATGCTAAAGGGAGGAGTGAGTTAGTAGTGGAGAGAAAATGATAGTGATTGTCTGAAATATCATCAAGGAAGGGGAAAAGAGAGGGGAAGGAGAAAGTGACATCAGTGTGGCCTGTAATCTAATTCAGTTCACTGGCTCATGGCGAAAAAGATTGTGTGCTCCCACCTCCTTTGCCGTTTAAAGAGTAGACAAAGAAACGGGAAGAAAGCTGTAAACTCAAATCCCCGCGCCTCTGAGTGCAGGAAATGACTGTTAATCAGCCAGTCACAGGGATGCTTTGGGATGTCTAACTAAAGACTTCAATTCCCAGGGGCAACTGCTCTTAAAGATATATGGCAGTTCTACTTAAAACTACAGTTAAACGCTGGCTGGGGGCAGCACAGTGGCCTGATTCCTTAAGAACGGGCATTGCTCCAGTCTGAAGGACAGATTTTGGGGAAGGGAAAGAACTAAGGACTCCCCAGCCTAAAAACAGATCTTTTATCCACACTGTTCTGGTAGTTGCTATCCTCCAGGGGGAACCTGGAGTTCTCCTGGAATTACAACGCATCTCTAGACTATGGAGATTAGTTCCCCCAGAGAAAATGGAAGCTTCAGAGGGTAGAGGGGGATCCACATGAATTCACATCCCTGCTGAGCTCCCTCCCCAAACTTTGCTCTCCCCACACTCTGACCCCAGTCTCCAGGAATTTCACATGCCAGAGCTGGCAGCCCTAATTTGTGGAATGACCATTATGCTTACAGCATGCCTGACAAGATGTAAAAATGTATAGGAATTACCTTACTGAAAACTTCACGGGGGGGGGGGCTGTTATCCTTGTGAAAGGATAATTCTGTTATTGCTAGCTCGTGAGAAATTTCCACCTAATGTTCTGAATAGGGATGCTTGAATACCTGCTAGTTTGGCTCACATCTGAGAGTGGTGATCAGGCACCCAATTAATTTGCAGGCTGTTCACGGCCTGTCTGCATCTATTCGAAAGAACAGGCTGCTTGCAGTCATCAGAAGCTGACTCTGAGCTTGTGCCTAACTGGCTGGGAGTCGGTTTCTGATTTCCTGCTGTGGAAATTTTTCTCTCTATCCTGCCAAGTTTGGGGGGTTTTTTTGGGGGGGAGGAATCAGGACTCCCAGCTGGTTGCAGCTGTCAGGTCCTTCTGATCTCCCAACCAGGAAGCTTCGCTACATCTCAGGTTTGCTGAGATGCAGCAAAGTTATGTATGTGTGGGTAGTCGGTGATAAGAAGTATAGTCAGGGGTCATTTCCTGCAGGAGCACATAGGAGCGGAGCTCCGGCAGTAAAGAGCCCAGGGGGCGGGCACATGCAACAAGCCCCACCCCCTGCTCCCAGCAGCCCTCAGTCAGAGCAAGAAGCAGCCAGGTAAGCTGCAGAGCTCCCCCCAGCCCCCTGGTCCGAAACAGTCCAGTGGCACCTTTAAGACCAAGTTTTATTCAGGTACAAGCTCTCCCTCCTCTGCGAGGACAGATCTGCACGTTTCCCCCCCCCCCAATAGCTAGCAATCCAAAACAGTCCAGTGGAGCCTGAGCGGTGGGTATTGCCTTCTGACACACTTCAGATGATGTCAGGGGGTGTGGCACATGCAAATATCATGCTAATGAGTTATGCTAATGAGCTCCTGCACCTCTTTTTCTACGAAATGACCCCTGAGTATAGTTGATTCCACTTCTGCCCTCCCCGAGCTGATAGCTACACCTGTAGAAAATAGGAGACTGTTCCTGTTCTTTGTAGCCCAAGCTCTTACTCTGAGGTGTGTTACGGGGAAGAAATTTATTACTTCTCCTCACCAGGCTCACCTCCATCTGTCAGTTTGAGCCACAGAAAAAGGAGATTAATTGTTTCTCTCTCTCTCTCTTTTGAAGTAGGGAGATCAGAAGCCAACCACTTCTTTCCCCACCCCCCAACTTGGAGTGGTGGGAAGAGAAACAATTTGTTTCTTCTCTTTTTGTTGCAACACAGATCAAAAGCCAGTCACTCAGCTTCACCATGTAGCAATTTTTCTGAGGAGGATGGATCAGAGACTCATTCCTAGCCGATTCCCCTTCCACTGTGCCCCAGCACAACAAGCCCTGTCTGCAGGAAAGTGGTGGGAGATCAGACCCCAACTCCAAGCTCAGGCCCTCATCAGCTGTGAGTAGGTTTTTGATGCAACAGGCAGCTGCAAACTGGTTCAGCAGTTGTTTGATGCAAGGTGAACATATCCCTGATCAGCTGATGGTCTGAATGTGTCAAACAGAATATGTTTGACTACCAAACGGCTTCCCTGCAAAACTCGTGGCATTTCTAGTTCTGGTCAGAAATGCTAAAAATTCTCTTCATTTTTTGGATGATCTCCTGATGTCAGTATGAACCACTATAAATTATCAAAACGAATTACTTGAGAATGGGACACCGCCCCCCCCCCCCCCCCCCCCGCCCACCCCTGCGCTATACAATCAGAAAACCGGAGGTCCTTCCCCCAAAAGTTTTTCCCCCCTACAGTTGCCAGCCTCCAGGCAGGGCCTGTAGGTCTTCTGAAATTAAACTGATTTCCAGACCTAAATCAATTTCCCAGGAGGAAATGTCTGCCAGAGCATTACCTTATGCCCAAGGCAAGACTATAAAACTGTGTCCCCTATACTTTCATACTAGTTATTTTGGTTAAAAGGTAAATATATAAATAATGGGTCGATTTGTTTTGTTGCATTTGGTCAAAGCCACAGCACAGCTCCCCTGGAGAAAATGGCTATTTTGGCCCCTCCCTTCCCCAAGCCCTGCCCTCCCCAGGCTCCACCCCCAGAACGTCTAGGTATTTCCCAGCCCACAGCTGGCAACTCCAAGCTAGTAAGCCATGCATGGTCTTCCTTATTCACAAGAGATAATTTTTAGATATACAGAGAAATAACTAACAAGAAGAATAACAGTCATGAGATTGGCATACAAAATCAACTAATGCATAAGTGAGTATTCAACTTACTGTTTTAAATATACAAAATTAAACCACATCAGGTACAACCACTTTTTACAATTGCACTTTTCACACTTTCAATGACATTAACATTTGACCTTTTTTTTTTTAATTTTTAAAGCTTACCACCAGAAAACTTGGAACATTAACATGACCTGCCTAGCACTGATGAGTTGAAAGATCTTAACTGTTTCTTTTTCAAACTTTCTCTGATGCCACAAAGCAACCAATCACTGTTTTTGAAAAGAGAAGAAAGAGTGGGGGCCTGGAGCGCTCCCAGAATTTACAACTCATCAGACTAAGGATTAGTTCCCCTGGAGAAAATGGCAGACCGTCTGGCATCATATTCTTCTTCAGCTCCCTCCCCTTCCCAAAGTCCACCCTACCCAGTAGGGTTGCCAGGTCTGTGTCAGAAAATACCTGGAGACTTTGGGGGCGGATCCAGGAGAGGGTGGGACTTGGGGAGGGGAGGGGCCTCAGTACAATGCCATAGAGTCCCCCCTTCAAAGCAGCCGTTTTCTCCAGGGGAATTCCAAAAACAACATCCGTGACAAAAATAACAAAGAGTCAATAAAGATAAGTTGCTAAAATGTTTACTGTAGTAATTTCTGTAGAAAATTTTCTTCTATTATCGCTCACACGCTAACGAATACAATACGCAATGAACAATTTGTTTCACAATATTTGGGTTCTGTTATTAGAGAGTCAACATGGAATGTTTCCTTCAAGAATTGATAAGTAGTGATTGATAAGAATTGAGATTGCTACATGCTCAGATAAAGCAAATATTGTGAAACGAATTGTTCATTGCTCGGTATTCGTTAGCGTGTGAGCGATAATAGAAGAAAATTTTCTACAGAAATTACTACAGTAAACATTTTTGCAACTTATCTTTATTGACTCTTCGTTATTTTTGTCACGGATGTTGTTTTTGGAATTCCACTTCCTCCCGTGTTCTCTCATTTATGTTTTCTCCAGGGGAGCTGATCTCTGTCAGCAGGAGATCAGTTGTAAAAGCGGGGGATCTCCAGGCTCCACCTGGAAGCTGGCAACCCTACCAGTCTCCATCTCTAAATCTCCTGGAATGTTCTTACCTGGAGTTCCTGACCTTATTTCTCTCTTATGGTGCAATTCCTAATACTGAGGAAGGGCCCCATTTCTAACTTCTATTGCTTCATCTTTAGCCCAATCAACATAGTTCAGGGGCCTTCCAGAAGGCTGCTTTTCTTCTAGTGGAAACTTGGAATGCTGAAGGTATCTCCCTCACTCAGTGCAACAATGGGGGATGGGCTTTCCCCCTCCGATTATCTATTTATGGCTTTGTCTTATTCTCTTAGCTCACCGCTCTCCTTCCAAGACATCACAGAGCTGAAGCTGAGTTGTATGGCAGACTATGGAGCTCCTGTGTTTCCCTTCCTGGCAGTAGGGGGTTATCCAGGTAGGAGATATATGACTTTGCACAAAAGAGATCACGAGTTGCAAACTAATGTCCACAACTAGTCAGGTGTCCATCAGAAGACCAGGGACATACCTCCCCTTTCAACAAACAGGGTTGACCCAGGTGTCCATCTAGTTGGAGACTCTTCCTTCTCCCAAGTTTTCAGCTGTCCCTTGGAATTTAGATTGTGTCATTTAAGCAAGAGGTGTGGTTCCTGACATGCTCTAAGGGAACTGCTTATGTACATCACACTCTGTACCATGAAGGGAAAGGCCAGAAAAGATTCATTTCATTGCTGTATTGCTAGGGAAGATTGGAATATTGAAACCAACCAGGAGCAGGCCTGAGTGTCCCCTGCACTGCTGACTCCACAGGAACCACTCAGTTCAGACCAGCCAGTAATGATGACAGTAGACACAGGCTTGCCTTTTGCTGCTGGCAAAGTCCAAGCTGAGTGGCTCCTGGGGTGCCACTGCCTGTGTCTCAGAGGTAGTTTGCTAAGCCAGGGGCTCTCCAAGGCAGCAGCCCATTAGGACCTTTCCTGGTAAGCTGAAAGGCCAGTCCACCCCTGGGTGCAGAGTCCTTCATATAAACAAAGCCCTAAAGGCATTTGGACACTCAAGGAACTACTGAGGCCCAAAAAAATCAATAAAACAGAGCTAGAGAGCAGAACAGGAAGGTCCTCACAGCCCAAGTTTTCCTGGAAAGAGAAAGTTTGGAGAGCTCGTTCCCGTGGAGCGCTGGAATGCTGAACTTATCTCCCTAGCTTGATGCAACAATGCGGGGATGACTAGCTTGGCTAGAGAAGGTCAAAGCTGCGGATTTTAAGCCTAGCCCAGCCCATCAACTGAAAGAATCCAAGCCTCCCTGAGGCACCAGTCATTGTGACCATGTCCAAGACAGTTTCGATCCCTTCTATTTGCATTCAGCTCCAGAGCAGGAATTTCTGACCTTCCACAGGTCTTACTAGCGCCATCCAAGGGAACTCTGATAATTCCTCAGTTAAAATCATTTATGGCACTCAGTGCAGTAGCGTCTTTGCTTTGTGGTGAGCGTTATGGATGGCAGAGGGATTTTCTTGGCAAGTTGCCTAACGTCTTATCAGCAGAGCTAATTGCTTGAGATGACTTCTGGGCAGGTGAGTCAGGAAGAAACAGGTAAAAATACATTACAGTCCTCGAGTTCCAAAGTACTATCCTCCTCTGGTGAGCATAGAGCACTGTCCGTGGCCTGGAGATAGCGACTATTTCTGTAACACCTCCAGGGAAAAGAGAAGTTCCTCGTGTTTAGGCATGGTTTCAGGTGGTAGCTGTGTTAGTCTGAGAGCCAGTTTGGTATAGCGGTTAAGAGCACGGACTCTAATCTGGGAGAACTGGGTTTGATTCCCCACTCCTCCACATGCAGTTGCTGGTGTGAACTTGGGTCAGTCATAAATGCTTTCAGAGCTGTTCTCTCAAGGGCAGTTCTCGAGAGAGCTCTCTCAGCCTCAGCTACCTACACTCTGAGACTCCTTCGGGTAGTGAAGGGTGGGGGTATAAATCCAATCTCTTTTTCTTCTAATAGCAGAATAAAATTTGAGTCCAGTAACACCTTAAAGAACAACACAACTTTCAACGGTATGAAGCTTCATGAGTAAAAGTTAATTTGGCCATATAAGTAATGAGGAGGGCTAAACTTATGTTGTCCCCTGCCCACCCCCAGCCGTAATCAGGTTGAAAGTCGGGAACTGTGCCTTGATCATGGAGGGGAGGGGAGGGGGGGACTGCGTAAGAGGGAGTGGGACTCTCTGGCTTCCCTGGGGTTCTGTGTTCACTGCTTCTTGATTCCTTTTCTATCTACCCCATAGGAGAGGAATACTCTGAATCCCAGGCACTCATCCTTACCTTTTCCTTGAACAACTACCTCAGCAGTGACCCCCATTTTGACATGGTGATGTTGTGGGAGAAGCGATTCCTGGAAATTTTAGGGAAATTCCAGCAGGAAAGCAGGAATATGCTGACAACTATTCCATTGCCTACATGGCTGAGGTATGGGGGGGCATTCAATCTCTTCTCTAGCCATCAAGGGCAGTTTGATCACAGTCGGACACAAAGGAGTGGGCCAATCCTTTCTCCTGCCATCGTTAGCAGGGAGCACAAACTACCTTCCTTGACCATGGGTGCTAAAGCCAGGTGGGATTTAGACTGAAGGGAACTTGTGAGGAGTTGGAGGCCAATTAGGTTGCTCCATCCTTGGAATATAATGGATCCAAATGGACTGCAGCTGCCCACTGGGAATTTCTGGCAGCCATGCCTGGTGCTCCTGCCAAAGCCTTAACTGATGTATGGAATTAAGAAATCACACAGGAGGTTGACATAACTGCTCCCTGCCTATAGAGCCCATTTCATTCCTTGCTTCAATGAGGAGCTCAGAGTGGGTTTTCTTGCAGGAGAAAGGTCCTGCTATCATTGCTCCTTGACCTCTGATCTGATTGGTGCATTCTAACCAGCTGCTGTCTTTCCCCACAAACTTCAGCGCTCCCTGGAGGATGAAATTAACCGCACCACCTGGGAAGACTTCCCTATCTTTGCTATCAGTTACTTGGTGATCTTTTTGTACATCACGCTGGCCTTGGGCGAGTACTCCAGCTGCACACATCTCCTGGTATGAAAGGCTGCTCGAGCACGGGCGGGGGCAAGGAATCAGGCAGACCAGGGTGGGGAAGCTTGTCCCTGTGGAGGTGATTTTAGCCTGCCTTCTATGGCTGTCAAGACTTAGTGGGGATGTTTTTCAACAGAGCAGAATGCGCAGATAGTATGGAAAAAACCGTCACCCCAAAATAAATTGCTTCCAAAATAGAAGGAAGGAGAGGAAGTAAGGCAGCATACGCCAACAGAAGGCACAGTGCAAGAAGTGCATGCAGAATGCTTGCGCTTCCCTTAGGAAGAGACGGGCTTGGTTCCGGCAGCAGACACACCCTTAATTGCCCTTAACAAGGGTATCAAGAATCTGGTGTTCACCCATTCAGAATGCTGGCAGCAGATGCCTCAACCTCCTGTACTCTGTTCCATGAATTAAATATATGAAACAGGCATAGCCACATAAATGTATTTAAGTTGAATGTTTTGTGGGGATTGCAGTTTTTCATGCTTGTTTTGTTAAGGCTTGTGGGACAGCATCTTTGAGAGCTACAGAACATTAACAAGCCTAGGTCTGTGTTCCTCACAGAGTGCCCCCACCTTTGTCAGAGCCGCCACAATGGAGATGATTAAGGAGACAAAATTCCAGGAGCCTTGGTCTCCCCAAGGGCCCACAGTACTATGAGAACCACACAATTAGCTTTCCTATGATAGTTTGGTTGGCTATGGGTAGTAAGGGCCCAGAAGCCATCTTTGCCTGTTGGAACTGTGATGGTTCTTAGCAGACTTGCTCTCTCCTTAGTCATTAGCAGACATTGCCCAAATGATAGACACATGCTCTTAAAGAAATTTTCCATATTCCATAGTTTACAACTATAGGTCTTTAGTCTTTGCACCCTTCCAGATCAAGGCAATGCAGGAGTCAAGACTAACCCCTCTTGGGACAGCTCATCACAATACCCGGTTAAAGGAGAGAGACCCCACCCTCCTCCTTCCTGTCTATAATCACCCTACCATCCCTTAGAAACTGGCCAATCGCCATCCCTTTCCCTTCACATTGCTTTGCCCCAGTACAGCCAGCTTGGTGAAGTGGTTAAGAACAGTGGACTCTAATCTGGAGAACCGGATTTGATTCCCCTCCTCCACATGCAGCCAGCTGTGTGACCTTGGGTCAGTCACAGTTCTCTCAGAGCTCTCTCAGCCCCACCTACCTCACAGGGTGTCTGTTGTGGGGGAAGAAAGGGAAGGCAATTGTAAGCAACTCTCAGACTCCTTCGGGTAGTGAGGAGCGGGGTATAAAAAACAACTCTTCTTCTTCTTGTACTTATCATGTTGTTCCTTTTTCAGGTGGACTCCAAGGTGACACTAGGCCTCGGTGGGATCCTGGTAGTGGTGGGGGCCGTGCTGTCTTCTTTGGGATTTTTCTCTTATGTGGGGCTGCCCTCCTCCCTCATCATTGTTGAGGTTGTTCCCTTTCTGGTCTTGGCGGTTGGTGCTGATAACATCTTCATCTTCGTGTTGGAGTACCAGGTGCGAAGAATGTCCATGAGACATGAGATCAGAGATGCAGATACTTGTGTCCCCAGGCAGCTTTTCCTTAGAGGTGTGGGTAAATGGAGGGATACCTGTGAGCAGGGGATATATTCTCACCTTACCATTTTCCTGGAGTAGCCTGGGTTTCGGACTCGACTGATACCAACCTGGAGCTATTTCTGCACCTCAAGAGGGCTGGCTGGGACCAGCCCCATAGTTAGGGAATTCTTTGGGAGGGGGCCTCGGGGCCCCCCGGCCAACTAATTAAATGAAAGTACAGTGGAGGTGGTAAGTTGGAGCACTTTGGAGGCAGCCCAGGAGGGAGGGGGCCTAGAAGAAACATTAGGGGGCCAGGCCCCATGTTAGCTACGGGCCAGGCTGGGACCATCCCCATTTGGGAACAGAGGAGGAAGCCATGCTGGGTGTGCTCTGTAGTAGGGTCTCTCCTTGTAATCTCTCTGTCCATCTTTGCAGCAATCTGAGCAGCAGCCAGGGGAGAGCAGGGAGCAACACATTGGACGAGTGTTGGGGAATGTGGCTCCCAGCATGTTCCTCTGCAGTCTTTCTGAAGCCATCTGCTTCTTCTTGGGTGAGTGGGTTGCTGCTTCTTCTGCCACCTCATCAGATTGAGTGCAAAACTCTAAATAAGAAATGTTCAGGTGAATGTTCTATGAAACTGCCTGGAATATCACATCAGAGTATTGGTGTATCTAGCTCATTCTTGTCTTCTCCAGTTGTCTTCAGCTCATGACTCAGGACCCCAGGTGGGACACAGAACCTCTCATCTGCTGCATTTTAAGCCTCTATAGAACCACTATTTTTCTGCTGCTTTTTATTTATTTATTTATTAGATTTATACCCCGCCCTCCCCAGCGGGCTCAGGGCGGCTACAACAAAGGCAATTGCCATAACAACAGTTAAAAGAACATAAAAACAATCATTAAGTAAAGTGCGGTGCTCTTGATGTTAAAATTTTCTTAAACCAAGATGAGTTCCATTCATCAACCTAACCTGACAGCATACATTCTTTGGTTAACTAGGCGTCTGCCTAGGGCCGGCTCATCTCCAGGTCTAATCCACCGTTGAAGATGGCAACTCGGTGGTGGTACAGTGACGGCGGCGGCTCCTATGCAAAGGCCTGGCGGAAGAGCTCCGTCTTGCAAGCCCTGCGGAACTGCACCAGGTCCCGCAGGGCCCGAACCTGCTCTGAGAGCTCATTCCACCAGACAGGAGCCACCACCGAAAAAGCCCCGGCCCTGGTTGCAGCCAGCTTGATGTCCTTGGGGCCGGGAACCATCAATAGGTGCTGCGACCCCGACCGTAGCGCTCTTGGGGGAACATATTGAGAAACGCGGTCCCTTAGGTACGCTGGACCCTGGCCATTTAGAAGAATCTGCACTTAGTGCACATGTATAGAGAGCAAGAAACCACCCCTTTTGCCTCTCTTTGCACATCACAATGAACCGAGGTCACTCAGTGGGAGAGAGGATTTTTCCATAGTTCCAGCACTTGGCTGCTCGCTACGGTACATATCCTGGTGTTCAGCTTGTGTTTCCTGTCTCTGATTTTTCCCCCCCATTTTCTGCCCATGGCACCAGTGACATCACCCTGGCTCCCCTCTGTCGCGTGACAGGGATGGCACATGAAATCCTGTCAGCTGTTTGCTGTGGGTCCTGGGCCTGGAAAGGCTGGACACACTGGTCTGGTCTGCCCTGACTGAAAGTAGCTCTCCAAGGCTTGAGGCTGAGAATGGGCTTCCCCAGCACCTGCCATGTGATGCTGCCAGCCATTGAACCTGGGACCTTCTGCATGCAGAACAGGTGTTCTGGACTGAACAGCAGCCCTTCTTTATGGCTTGACTCAGGCTGGCAACAGGAGCCACAGAGAAATGGGCTGAACTGCTAGAAGGTCTCTTGGATGGTTGGCCAGCGATAGGGCTTCTGCAGATATATTGAAGAGCCGCTGCAGGGGCCCCGGTGTGGATCGAGCTTGTCGGCTGAAAAGCCCAACACAACACTGATTCAAAGAATTCTGAAGACAAGTTTTAAGTGTTTTCTCAGAATGTGAAAAGAGAGCAAGGCACTCTTGGTGGGTGCAATAACGTAATGACTGAACTATCAATTCTTGCCTGACTGGCTACTTCATCTCTCTGTAGGTGCTTTATCAGAGATGCCGGCAATTCGGACTTTTGCCCTCAATTCTGCTATGGCCATCCTCTTTGACTTCCTGCTTCAGATGACCACGTTTGTGGCCCTGGTGTCTCTGGATGCCCGCAGGCAGAAGGTTGGGGAGCTCTCCTTTGAGAGTTATACAATCAGTGTGTGGGGTGGGGATGGTATTGTCTTGTGTTTCCTCTTTACAAAGCAGGAGGGCTCCCCAAGGCTAACTCAGTCCAGGGTGTTAATGGCCTGCAGGTGAGTAGGTCACACACCCCTGCTCCCTGCACTGTCCCCTATAATACCACCTTTACCATGCCAGGCCTCACGTTTTGACCTGTGCTGCTGTGTTCGCCTCGAGAAACGGGGAAAGGTGAAAAAGCACAAGAACCTCCTTCGCTCTTTCACAAAGCGGTTCTATGTGCCTGTCTTGCTCAACAGCATCGTCCGAATGCTGGTGGTGAGTAGAACTGGAAGAACAGGGGGTTGCCTGGGATCAGGTGGCCCAGGACCTTGTAGGCCTGGGGAGTGTTGTGGTGGGGTGAAGAAACAGCTCCATCTCAGGAAGGGAAGCATTTTCACTGCAACTGGTGCCTCTTTGTCTAGATGGTGCTCTTCATCTTCATGTTCTGCATGGGGATCTTCCTGATGTTCAATATCCAGGTGGGGCTGGATCAGGAGCTGTCTATGCCAGAGGTGAGAGGCTATCTGTTTGCTGCATGGGTGGGAAACAAAGAGATTTCTCCATAAGCTGTTATAGTGATGGCAAAATGGAGCCTTCTCTCAGTATCCTCAGGGGCTTAAGTAGTTGCCATAAATCTGCAGAAATCCTTATTTTATAGTCTTTTTTCTCTCACATATGAAGACTTGTTTCCTTTTGCTTCCCCTGTCCCATTCTTTTTAAGCTGATGTTGCCACTTGGCTCTGGCAAGGGGGCAATAGCTACCTTGCCAAGAAGTGGCAGAAAGGAGAACTATTAAAGGAGACTGGAGCATCACCTGCCATGTTCTGTGGTCCTTTTTGTCTGCAGGACTCCTACATGCTGAAGTACTTTCAGTACCTGAACCAGTATTTTATGGTTGGTGTCCCAACCTATTTTGTCACTACTGGGGGCTACAACTTCTCCTCATATGATGGAATGAATGGTGTCTGTTCCAGCACAGGATGTGACAATAACTCCATGACCCAGAAAATCCAATACGCCACACAGTTCCCCAAGGAGTAAGTTACCCTGAGCACTACCTCATGTGCAAGAATGTCTCCTGCCTGCCATATGTATTCATGCACAACATGTATTTTTAAACAGCAAGGAGTTTCTTTTTATAGGTAGAATCTTCGATTGGGGTGTAATGAATTAAAGTTGTAAGTGTCTGTTTCTTTAAATGTTTGGTAAGTTGTAGAAGAGCAAGCAAGTCAAAGAGGAGGATGAGTGAGTGAGGTGATTGGTTGGTGACTGAGAGTGTATGGGCAGAGCTAAGAAGTGTGGAGAGAGAGAAGGTAGCAGTCAGTCGGTCTGCAATTCACAGTCAGTTGTGGTCAGTCAGCTGACTACAGAGTCTGAGAAGCACTCTTCTGATTAGAATCCCATATTAGTGCTGTGAAAAGCATTTAAGATTTTAAAAAGAAAATAGAATACTGTAGAGGACATATTAGCGACTAGTCAGAGTACATTCTGAAGAGAAAGGAAGATTTGAGAGTGAGGAATGTTTGTGAAGTGAAAGGGAGTGATACCTCAGTCAGGAGTTATTAATATACAGTATTTTATTCACAAAAGAGATAAGTTACAAATCATCTTGAAACCAAGACGCTTCTTGTACAAATAACGTTTTATTGTGTTTATTGTTAACCTGGAGTTCTATGCTATTAAAATATAAGAGTCTCATCCTCAGGACCACATAGTGCAATGGAGCCTTAGAGCTTGGGAACAATACTGTGGGAAAGGTTAATTAATAATATTGGCATTAAATTCCTGGTGACAGTGTTACAGACCCAGAGAGAGAAATAACAAGGAAGTTAAAGACACACCATATTTAACCACACAAATTAAAAGCGAAGTCGTGGCATGGGGTGAGAAGGGGGTGATTATAATACAACAGCTGCAGAAACACAGATGGCATTTCATTTAGAATGTGAAGCAGCTGCAGCAATTTCTACCCCCTAGTTCCCCAACCCCCATGAGAATGGAATACCCAGCCACAAGGAAGTGCAGAGCCAGGGCTAAGTCTCCCTTACTGACTAAAAACACCCCATGTATGGTTCTATCCACTGGCTATTCCAAAATTTCACAAAGCAAAATCTAGAATTCAAAATCCTACCTTCAAACACAAATAAAGTCAGAAAAAACGTGAGCAACAACCTCCTCCTCAACCTTTCAGTGTCTTTTGGTGTGCAAAGTTCTGACTGCCCTCCTGAAGGCATATTCTGAGGCAGTGAACCTCCGAAACCCAGTGCTAGAAGGCAACATCATTGGAGGGGTGAGGCATCCATGTTGTTTGTTGGCTCTCCAAAACACAACTGGTCAGCCGTGAAACAGGATCTTGGACAAGATGGACTATCGGTCTAATCCAGCAGGGCTCTTTTTATGTTCTTAATTATGAAGCCATGCCTTCTGAGGAAATCCCCAGAACATTGGTGTCTAAAACGTCGTGATGGAGAGGAATTTAGAGCAGGGCTTCACATTGTGCCACTTTATACTGAGTCAGGCCATTGGCCTATCAAGATCAGTTTTGTCTACTCTGACTGGTAGTGGCTCTCCGGGGTATCAATTAGAGGCCTTCATCATCTGCCTGATCCTTTTAGCTGGTGATTGAACCTGGGACCTTATGAATGCAAGGGGAAAATGTATGTGAACCTAACACACATTCTCAGAATTTCAAAGAGCTCAGAGCAAGCTCTCTGTTCTTAAAAGATCCAGCATTTAAGCCTTCTTGTATATATGTGTGTTATATACACACACACACACACACACACGTATGGGGGTAGGAAGGAGAAAGGCTGGTCCTTAGCTAACAAGAGGAAAATGTTAAAACACAATGTGTATTCAAATCAGGCTTTGAAACTTTGAAAGGAAATTTCAACTAAACAGCTGTGAAAGCTACGTATTGGCTTTGATAGGCCACCTCACATCTCTGGAGTAGATTGGTAGAAATTATTGGCATTTTCCAGCACATACATTTAGCATTCTGTTTGCATGAGGAAGGCATTTGGGTTCTCCCAACTTTCCCATCCATAAGAGAAGGACAGGAGATTTTGAGTTGCAGACAAAGTGGATCTGGGTTAGCTGATTAACCTTTTTAAAAATACACACACACACCCAGCATGTTGCACTCCTGAAGTTCACCGAGGCATGGATGACAGTGAAAAATGTTCTCAACTTCCAGGAGCTGGAAAACTACATGGGCAATTGTCAAAGCTAGCAACAGGCAACTCTGGGCAAAGTTTCCTATAGGGGCTGTCTCTCTTCTAGTAGGTGGTAACATAGTTAATTTAAGAGTGGCCCCCAGAGAGGCTAGAAACCAAACCAGATGAGAGTCTGGAAATTCTGGAGTTCCCAGTGTTTTTAAAAATTCAATTACTGAGTATGATTAGGGAATTTAATGAAACACGGGAGGCTTTTAAGTACCCCACTCCTTTCCCCAATCTGAAATGGCCTGGGAAAGCACCACTATCTGCCCCATTGGGATATAGAGATACTTGTATTAGTCAGGAATGAGGCCATTGCAGACTGGGAAAATGACATGAGGGAAAGTCTTAACTCCCCCCTCTCCTCACACTGTGGTCCCATTCTAAATTGGGCCCCCATGTACCTGCTAATTGAAAGCACTGGGCTCTCTAATCCCAGAATTCCCTGCCTTTCATCCAGTTTGGCCCAAATGATTACATTACATTTACAGGTCCTACCTGGCCATTCCTGCCTCTTCGTGGGTAGATGACTTCATAGACTGGCTGAATCCCATGTCCAGCTGCTGCCGCATACAATCTGGCCAGTTCTGTGACTCTACAAACAGTAAGTATTTCTGCAGCAAGGAGGGCTGGGAGCAGTGTGGGAAAACATGCAGCCCAGATAGCAAAGGGATGGGGGAGAGGAAGAAGGCTGTTGGTTTTCCTCAAGGAACTGCAGATGCCTGCCTGGATCTAGGGCTTGACGTGAGAGCCACCTCCCCTTTTCCTTTGGCAGCAGACCAATACTGCTCAAAGTGCATGAAGCTGACAACTGACACTCTCCGGCCTGACGTGGAACAATTCAACGAATTCCTGCCCTGGTTTCTCAATGACACACCTAATCTCAATTGTCCCAAAGGGTGAGTGTTGCCAAATGGGTTAGGCCAGCAGGGCTTGGGCTGCTGTTTCCACAACTATATCCACTCCCATATATAGCTGGGACATCTGACAGATAATAGCCTGGTACGATACTGAGCAATCTGCTTCCGTGAGTTCTAGTGGTGTGCCTTGCTGAACATTTACTGAAATATTAACCATGATGGCCCAGAAAGCATATTTTAACATTTAGAAGGTATGAAGGTGAATCTTTCAACCATCTCTCCAAATAATGACATTTTACTAGGCAGTGGCAGCAGGGATTATCTCTAGTTCTGTGCAGAGTTGGGACCATGTGGCTGAAGCAGACACTCCAGTTTGTTTCATCAAGGGCAGTGCAAGGCAACTCTAGCCGCACACCAGACTTCTGCAGCATCTCTATGGACGGAAGTCAACCACCCTCTGTGTTGGGTATTGGCTTTTCTCTTTTGTTTGATTGTGTGGTCAGAGAACAGATGGCCATTTTAACCACTTCCTTGTGCTGTGGCCAAAAAACAAGTTGGCTCCAGGCTAGCTGGACCTGGGTTTGGGCATGGATGGGCTGGACTGCTTGTGTGTTGCTTTCTGGGGAGGGTGCCTTTTGGCCCCTTTCTTTTTTGAAGCTGAGATTCAGTCCAGAGAATCAGGCCCCTGGTGTGAACAGCTGCTGCTTGTCAGGTGTGTTCTCCTCTAGAGGGGTTAGCATCCTAGCCATGCTCTTTATCTGCATTGTTCAATTGACAGGGCAGTTCGGTATTTATCTGTTCCTCCTTCACTCACCCTGTCCCCTTCTGTCTTTGCAGGGGCCGTGGTGCCTATGACACATCAGTACGACTGGGGCCAGATGGAGAAATCCTGGGTGAGAAGCCTCTCTTTCTCTGAGGCTGCATGGAGCAAACAATGTCCATGTGGGGATGAACAGTTGCCCCCCAAGGAGGGTCCTGGGTCTCTCGTTCTATGGGGGAGAGGGTACAGATGGGATGCAATGTCATTTTCTTAGCATAAATTTGGAGGTGGCAAAGTCATTTCAGCTGCTCTTCCACTCTGAATGTGGAAGGGGCTTGGATGGTCAGCACTGGCCCATATAGGAATCTCCATCTGAGATCACAGCCAGTAAAATGAGAATCTCTGGCTTCCCACAGCTTCCCGGTTCATGGCTTATCACACACCCCTCAAAAACTCGCAAGAGTACACAGCGGCACTCAAGGTGGCACGAGAGTTGTCAGACAACATCACAGCCAGCATGCGGAAAGTACCAGGAACGGATCCCAGTTTCCGAGTCTTCCCATACTCGTAAGACCGCATGAGCCATTATGGAAGAGGAGCTGGGGGTGTGTGTGGTGTGGTACTTGCCAGTAAACTATAATAAGGAATTGAGGTGTCTGTAAGAGCCACAGGGTTGTTGTGTCCCATGGCAGGAAGGAAACGTCAAAACCCCATATCTTGACAGGACCTGAAAGTCAGGTTCAGCTTAGTAAATGAGTGTGTGCCATAGCCAGAGAGGAGGACAGAAAGTGTCCCACTCATTCAAGAAAGACATAATCCCAACACTTGTAATGAGTAAGTCATAAGAATATAAGAGCAACTGTGCTGGATCAGGCCAATAGTCCATCAGTTTCAGAGGCCTGTTTCACACAGTGGCTAACTAGATGCCTCTGAAAGGTCTGCAAGCATGGCATGGGAGCAAGAGTCCCTCACCCCGTTGTTGTTCTGCAACAGAGGGTTAGTGTCTCTGACCAATCAGGCTCCATTGAGTCACTGTGACAGCCACTCAAGGACTTACCTTGCCCATGAATTTTTGTCTAACCCCTTTTTAAAGCATAACAAAGCCAACAGTGGGGGGAGAACAGATTTCTTCCCTTGGAAGGCAGGAGCAAAGTTGGTTTCTGTACTCCAGCACTCCTTAAAGCCTCTCTTTTTGCAGGATCACCTATGTGTTTTATGAGCAGTATTTGAACATTGCCATAACAGGCTTCGTCAACTTGGTCTTCTGCCTGGTGCCCACCTTTGTTGTGTGCTGTGTCCTGTTGGGCATGGACTTGCGTTCGGGCTTCATCAACTTGCTCACCATCATCATGATTGTGGTGGACACTGTGGGAGCCATGGCATTGTGGGGGATCTCGTACAATGCCATCTCTCTCATCAACCTAGTGACGGTAAGCTATGCCTGGCTCTACAAGAAGTAGTTTGTGGTTTGCGAAGTGAAGTTTGTGGTGGGTCAACTGACTTGAACTTCCCACAGACTTTCAAGCAGTTCCTAGAAGTTTGTGCAGGTTCCTGAATGGAGACATTTCCAGACAGACTCTGTCTGCTCAAACAAAATGTTTACCGAATTTCAAAACAGTCAGTTTCAGACTTGTCCTGTCAGTTTCAAGAGGTTTTCACACACACACCTTTTGCCAGCATTCTTCTAGTGTTTGCAAAAAAAAAAAAAAACCCCTTACTTGGAGTGTGATTCTGTGCTAGACATCAGTCCTGCTGAGCTGGCATTACCACCATGGCACTGGATTCTGCTGGGCACTCTTTGATTGCACTGGTACTGCTGGGCACTCTGTACATTGCACTGGTTCTGCTGGGCTTGTCAAAATGCCCCCACAACCACTTTCAGTTTCTGCTACAGAGATTCTCTGGCTTTACCTTAGTCCTGTTGGGTTTGAACTCCCACAGTCACAGTTTCTGCTGGGCACATTGCACTAGCTCTGCTGGGCTTGCAAAAATGCCCCCCTCCCAGTTTCTACTGCAGAGATTCTCTGAGACTTTGATTCTGTTCTGCTGGGCTTCTATTGCCCTTGCAGGTTTTTGTGGGCTTTTTGCTGCTTTTGGAAACAATAGAGGATGGGGGCACCTTGGGGGGGGGGCTGTAACTCGAACCCTGTAACTCCAATCCTCATCAAACTGGGAGGGCAGGTAGAGGAGAATCAGTTGGAGATCCCCTGCACGTTTGGTGTCTCTAGCATGCTGGGGGACCATTCTACTGCAACACTACTTTCACAGATTCATTTAGCCTCTAAAAGTTCGGGATGGTTTGTGGCTCAAAAACTGGGTATACCACAAACCACCAACCGTCACAAACTGCATTTTCCTGGTTTGTGCCCATTCCTATTTCTGGGGATTGTTCTTTCCTATGGAGAATTCTGGAAGGGGAAGATATTATGAAACTATAGGTATGTTGGCATGGAGCAGCAGGGAGACTGATGCATGGAGAGAGGTAGACATTTCAAAGCAAAGAAGGCTGCTCAATTACCATGCAGTCAAAAATGAGTTTAGAAACTTTCATGTTTGATTATTTTATTTTACATTGATAGCCCACCTGTTTGTGGGGGTGGGGGTTAAAAAATGAGCAAAAAGCAACCTGCCATGGGCTCTTCTACACGGCCAACACTGGTAGCTGGGCAACAGAGATGCTTCCGTAGGCAAAGCAGCCTGAAGGGCTCTGCTGCTGTGCCAGAGCTTTCCCTTTGTCCTGTCATGAATATTTCCTTCACAAATATATTGTTAAAATGCAGCTGATTCTCCATCGGCTTACAGCAAAAGGAGCAGGTACATCAGTACAGAATGACAGTCAAGTCCAGTCTTGACTTGCTACAGACATTGTGCAGAACTTGTTAGAGTCTCTTGGCATGCCAAACTGTGCACATTTGAAATGAAAGAGCTCTGCTGAGACTTCTTGCTAACCACTCCATTCTCTCCCCAGGCCGTGGGCATTTCAGTGGAGTTTGTATCCCATATCACCCGCTCTTTTGCCATCAGCACCAGGCCCACCAAGCTAGAAAGGGCCAAAGAGGCTACTATTAATATGGGCAGTGCGGTGAGTACAGTAGCGGGACCAATGTGGGAAAAGGTCATTTGGACACTATTGTTGTTCCTGGAGCATACTGGGTTTTGGGGTGCCACCAGAGGATGTGGCAAGGAAGAGAGAGCCCAACCTTCATGGCTGTTGGATAAGGTAACTTCTTCATCCAATCTGTTGTCATAGCCTCCCCCAACACACTCACTACCACCCTTCTCCATTGCAGGGACCTGAAGTCCTGCCCCTGACCTGCCCTCATTCTTGCTATGGCTAGGAATCCCCTTCAAGGTCCCCATCTAAATGGACTCTGTCCTAATAGATAGGTCATCCCAAGTTACCTTGGAACTGATGCAAGAGCTAGTCAGCTTTTGTTCTTGGTAATTGCTTGTGTCCGTGTGATGTAATTTGGTGCCATGCTTGAGAAGATACCCAAAGCTTGTCCTGGGCAATCCTAGCAGCACAGTAGATGGCTTCAAGAGGGATTTAGATAAACATGTGGAGCAGAGGTCCATCGGTAGCTATTAGCCCCAAGGTATAGATAGGAACTCTCAGGCTGGGGCAAGTGATGCTCTGTATTCTTGGTGCTGGGGGGGGGGCAACAGTGGGAGGGCTTCTAGTGTCCTGGCCCCACTGCTGGACCTCCTGATGGCACCTGGTCTTTTTGGCCACTGTGTGACAGTGTTGGACTGGATGGGCCACTGGCCTGATCAAGCACTGGCTTATCTTATGTTCCAAGTCCCATGGTCCAGTGCTGCCCATTTGATGTGACATGCTGGGCATGTTTGTTCTCTTTTTCCTTCAGGTTTTTGCTGGCGTGGCAATGACCAACCTACCCGGCATTGTGGTCCTGGCCTTTGCCAAGGCACAGCTGGTCCAGCTTTTCTTCTTCCGCGTCAACCTCCTCATCACTGTGCTGGGCATGCTGCATGGCCTCATTTTCCTGCCTGTCGTCCTCAGCTATTTTGGTAAGCCCACAACCTCTCCCAGCCAGCCTTGTTTCCCTTTCCTTCCTGGCCATGCTCCACAAGGCAATGAGACTGAAATTCTGGGGGAAATGATGTTCTGAGGGAAGCAGGGCATGAGAGCCTCTGGCAAAACTCGGAGGGTGAAGGCATCACTTCGGGTGGCTGTTTCCTACAGAACTAGGGTGGATGGATGCCCCCCCTCCTCCACTGCTACAGGAAATATCTCACTAGTACAATACATACATTCTGTACCACTGCCTGTCTTCCCACTGTCTGCGATGTGTGTGTTTTCACGGATGCACTTATCAGCAAATACTGTGCTGCTTGAGTCATTTGTTCTATATCTGCTTCAGACCTTTAAAACGTTTTTAAAGCACCACTTGCAAGTTCTTCCTATTTAACCCCCCCCCCCGGGTCTATTTAAAAACACATTTTAAAGATAAAATTGAGCTGTGTGAGGTAGGGGATAAGGAATTCTCAGCCAGTTGGCTTCTGCCCATCCAGACAGAACCAATTTCCCCAGGAAGATGAGTGCATTTCTACAGCCAATTCACCGCTCAATGCTGGACAGTAGCTGTCCCAGAGAGAGACATTACATTGCACTGAGCCTTTCATTCAGGCCAGGGTACGTGGTACCACACCTCCTTCTCTGGCCTGCTCTAACCCTTTCCTTCTTCCATCATCAGGGCCCAGTGTCAACCAGGCTTGGGTACAGGCACAACAGCAGAGAGTGGGCAGCCTGGCCGTGAGCAACCCTGCTTTTGAAGGAAAACAGAGCCCAAGTGAAAGTGTCTCTCCCAGACACTGCCAGCCTCTGGAAACAGGCTCAGATTCCAGGGGAAACCATGAAGAGGGAAAGGACCTGAACAGCAAAAACGGAAGGGTTTGGACAGTCACCACGAAGAAGGAGTCAACTTGCAGAACAGCCTCAGCGCCAGGCACAGACTCTGGGAAAGGTGTGCAACATCCAGCCTCCGCTGTGGAAGGCAATCACATCAGCAGGACAAGGCAGGCCTAGAGAAGGACCCAGCTGCTACGTTCAATGTATATGCATGTTTGTGGCGTGTCTACACAACAGAACTCATGCTGCTAGCCTAACCATCTGACAGTAAGCGATCTGGCATCTCCCTGACAATCCCTATCCTAAGTTTTCAAACTGGAAACACGTGTGCTTGTTTTTACCAGACAGAAGAGCAGCTCCTCCCGTAAGCTAGAGAGAGAGGAATGGGAAAAAACATGGAAATCTATTAAACTATTAAGAGCTACGTCCTACAAAGAAAATATAATAAAAATGATATACAGATGGCACTGGATGCCAGATAGGCTGCAAAAATGTTATGTAAATGTTTCAGGGAACTGCTGGAGGTGTAAAAATAACATAGGAACGCATTTCCATATATGGTGGAAATGCGAGAAAATACAAAGATTCTGGAAAACTACTAAGCAGTTGATAAAAGATATTACAGAAATAGACTTACTGTACCATTGAGCCCAGAAATCTTTTTATTAAACATTACACCTGACGGTCTTAAATATAATGAAACATGTATTATTGCATATGTAGCTACAATGTCGAGAATATGTATCGCAAAGAATTGGAAGTCGGATAATATACCGAGTAAAGAAGAGTTGATAAGCAAGCTTTTTGACGTAATAGAAATGGATAAATTAAATATGTACTTGGTGGGAAAAACAGAAGATAAATTTAACCAAAAATGGCATAAGGCCATAAAATGGTACGAAGAAAAACTGTAATGTTAACCCCCAAATTGTTATTAAAGGGGAGATAAATGTATGTAAATGATGGGAAAACTGTAAATAAAACCTATATATAAAAAAAGAAGAGCAGCTCCTCCTAGTGGAACAATAGAGCAAATGGCAAAATGGGCATCAGGCGGCTGCTTCACCCCCATTTCAGAACTCTAGAAACTACTGATTTCAAAACGAGCATTACTCTCACTTTTAGGGACTGCTTACACAAAATACACTGGTATATTTTCAGTGTTGTAGAAGTCTCACTTCCAGATGCTAAAATTTCCAGAATGCTGAAACTTTGTAGAAGAAAGCTGGAATTGTACCAACTAGTTATAGTGGAAGGAGCTGCTTCTGCCTAAGGCACATCAGTTCTATCTCCCCATGAACTAGGTGTACTTGGGGAGGATTTACATTTCCTTCCCAAGATGCTGTCTACATGACTGTCAGTCAGGCCAAGGGCATTTGTACTTTTAAATGTCATAAATATGCCAAATAGCAGAATTTTATATGCTAAGTTATGGATGACATGATTTGTTGTAAAAGCAGTAAAAAATGTTTAAGTTTGATAAAAAATCATTATTGCATATGTTTCAGTTCATCCCATGGCTTCAAACATTATACAAGTTTTACATCTCTAACAGATGATGTGATAAAAAGTGGAGGCTTTCATGGTAATTAAATAATCTCTTCCATTTAAAAAAAAAACCCCTCTTTTTCTGTGTTCTCTTGTGCCTTAATATGCTTGGTGTCGACAAGTGTGTTTTCAATTCCCATATTTATTTAGAAAATGTATATATTGCTTGTCTGCAGACCAGTTCGTGGAGACGCACAAGGTAAAAACAATTAGTACAATAAAAACAACAACAATCAAGTACCATAACAGAAAACCACTGGAAGATACGGTGGTCCTATTCAGTGTTCCCTCTAAGCTGAGTTAGTGTGAGCTAGCTCAGTTTTTTAGCCTCCAGCTCACACATTTTTGCCTTAGCTCAGGAAGGAGGGCTCCAGAGCAGACTAATTTATGCAGTAGCCAAATTGCTCGCTCACAACTTGAGTGCCAGGAGCTCACAGAGGAGAATTTTTGCTCACAAGACTCCACAGCTTAGAGGGAACATTGGTCCTATTACGAAGTGAAACCGAAAGTTCTTTTGCATTAAATGCCCCCGGGCTTCGATTTCAACACAGCACAAAGTGTAACAGGGAAATGTGCCAGCCCCATAAGAGTGCTCAGCTCTCATCTGTTGCAGCATGGAATGTTGCTGGTAGATTTAGCGCCCAAAGCTTTTCCTACTGTATATCTACTGATCCCCTTGGGGCCTGTACTGCATTGCTTCCTTATCCCTTTTCAAGTTTCCTTCTTTGTCCTCTTTTGCCCTGTTCACGCTCCTTCTTTTCCATTCTTTGCTTCTGGTTTTTTGAATACGCTACCTCATATTGCTTCTGAGGTCAGCTCTGAGGTGTGCTCTCAAAACACAGGAAGGATGGAAAGGTTGCACTAGCAACAAGATTGGGATATGTACGTGATGCCAGGTTCCAGCTGCCTCCAGCAAAGTCTGGGGAATAGCTGCAATCTAAAGGACAAGGGCCTCCTGAGCTTGTAGAACATATTTAGAGTCCAGTGGCACCTATAAGACCAACAAAGGTTTATTCAAGGTATGAGCTTTTGTGCGCATGCACACTTTTTCAAATACCCTGGAATGGAAGGTCCAAACTTATAGACAGGGGCTGAACAGCAAATGAACATGTAACATGATGAAAATGTTTTAAGATATGTGAAGACAAAACTAAATAACAAGGTTATAAGGTCAACAGGTATGAAGCAATAAATATGTCAAAATAAGACTGAGATTGTCCATTCATTGCTCTCAGGCATGGAAGTAACTTTTTTAAAAAATGAGTATATATTTTTATTTATTTAGTCTGTTACATCGAATATTTGTAGCTATTTACAGTTTCACCCCTTTCCTCCCTCCCTCCCTCCCTTTTAATCTTCGTCTTTTCACCCCAGCCATGGGCACAAAGTCTTAATCTTCCACTGAATGTCTTTTCTTCTTTCTTTCAGTATCCAATCTAGGTAGGTCTTCCATCTGGTCTTGATTTCCGTCAATTTTTCTTCCCATGTTGTTCCCTTGTTGATTGATACCACGATATCTGACTGTATAAAGTCAAACAAATAGTTGTGCCAGATTTCTATTATCCATTTACTTTTGTCTTTCCAACCCAGAGCTATAACCGCCTTTCCCGCCAGTATCATAGCCTTAACTAGATTTAGAGTAGTCCTATCCAATAACGGGCTTCCTATTGTACTTAACAACATTAGATTAAAGTCTATGGTTAATGTTATATTGCATACTTTTCTAATAATTTCAATAATTTCCCTCCAGAAGGTTTTTACTTCTGCACATTCCCACCACATGTGTGCATACCAGCCTTTAGAATGTTTACAGTGCCAGCACAGCGAACTCAATCCGGGAATCATATTAGCTAGCTGTGCTGGTGTCTTATACCATTTTGTAAGGAATTTATATTCAAGTTCTTTAAATCTGGTTACTTTGATATCTTCTATTCCTTTCATAATTTTATCAACCTCCTCTCTGTTATCTGACCTTCATGGCACCATCTCTTTTGTAAGTATTCTGTTATTTTATCTTTATTTGTTAACATCTTTCTATATCTTTTTCCTACCAGTCCCTTTTTCTGCTTGGCCATTTCTTTGTATATTACTTCCATTGGTGCATCTGTCCAGAGGTCTTCCTTTTCGCTAATCATTTTAACTGTCTTATATAGCCCTGCTATTTTTAACTAATATAGGCTGCGGTCACACGGAACATTAGCCACGCTACAGAGACGGAAGATAGGCGGATTTTCTGGGCGCGATCACACCACCACATCTGGGAAGCGTAGAGCTCCTGTGCCGAACCCGAGGCTTCCCGCCAAAGATGCGGGGTAAAAAACTAGTACCTCCGAGGTACTAGTTTCCGGAAACTGCGGGGCAAGGGCGGACACCTGATCGCATTTCCGGTGGAATCCCGTGGCATCCAGCGCCCGCCCATGTCCCGTCGCGAACAGGTTTTTCCCCCCCAAGTCTCCACAGGATGCGCACAAGCGTCCAACGGCGCATGTGCACAAAGATGCCCCCTCCCACTGCAGCCAGGCTTGCCGCCTCTGGAGAGTCGCTATGGCCACTGTCGCGCAGGCAGTTAGAGCGGCTGTGATGAGGGGGCCCACCTCCCCCTCCATTGGTTATGCCTCGGAGCTCTGTTGGGGTCCGGAAGCGTCTCCGGTAAGCCCACCACCCGCCTTCGGATGTGCAGATACGATTGCTCAGTCATATGTATACACAAACTTCAGGTTTTTTTAAAAAAATCCATCCCGTTTGCCACGGAAACAGCGCCTAGCGATTGCTGGTGTGATCGCGCCGCACCGCTTCTTTGCCGCTCTGCAGGATAGTCGTGTGATCAGCACCTCCCCCCTAAACACGGGACCTCGACGGGACGTGTGATTGTGCAACCGCACGTTATTTTGCTCCGGGACAAACAGCCACGCTTCCCCCCCGCATTTTCCTGCCCGTGTGACTGGGGCCATTGTTTGCCTATCTCTTCTGTTATTTCCTGTAAGGGTTTTAGATTTCCACCACTAAACATATCACCCACTCTATAATAACCTTTAATTTTTAGCATTTCCCACCATTTAATTTCTTGCAGTTTCAAGGGGTGCCCATCTTGAAACTTTTCCTAGCCAGTGGGGTTGACATTTCTTCCAGATTTCTGATGCTCTTCTAGGGCCTATTGTTAGTTTTAAGTCTTTTGTCGTTACTATAGAAAAGATGCCAAATCTACCTATATTACTATTGATTTCATTCTCAAAATTAACCCACTTCTGTGCCTTTTCCTCGCCTATTTCTAATAATGGTTTTAGCTGAAAAGCTTCATAATAGTTGTTTAGGTCCGGGATTCCCCATCCTAATTCTGATTTGTGACTATATAATGAGGGATTAATGGAGTGTCTTGCCAGCAGTTGATCTTCACTTGCTGCTTCAAAACTGAACATTCACAGCAGGGATGGCCAAACTTGCTTAACATAAGAGCCACACAGCATAAACGTCAGATGTTTGAGAGCCGCAAGACATGAACAAATATTACACACACGTTTTTATTGGAAAATATACAAATTTGCTCCGTATTAACATTAAATGAGACTGCCAAAAATATAATGATACTTATTTGTCCAATGATATTTGTTTGTTTGCTAATGATATTTATTTGTCTGAGAAAGAGAGAGAGGGGTAGAAAGAAAGAATGAAAGGAAGGAAGGAAGGAAGGAAGGAAGGAAGGAAGGAAGGAAGGAAGGAAGGAAGGGGGAAAGCGAAAGAAATGTGGAAAGAAAGTAAACAGATGGGGAAGGAGAGGAGGGAGGAAGAGAAAGAAACAAAGAACACAAATAGATGAGGGAGGACGGAAGGAAGGAAGAGAAAGGTGGAAAGAAGGAAAGAGAAAGAAAGAGAAAGAAATAAAGCAAATAGATGGAGGAGGGAGGAAGGAAGGGAGAGAGAGAGAAAGGGAGAAAGAGAGAGAAAGGTGAAAAAAGAAGTGGGAAGAAAGCAAATAGATGGGGAGAGGGGAGGGATGGAGGGGAAAAGAGAGAAAGAGAGAGGTGGAAAGAAAATAAAGAAACGGGGAGGAGGGAAGAGGTGGAAAGGAAGCAACTTTAATTTAAATGTGTTCCCCAACATACACACACCCACACATCCCCATGTCAGCTGGCTTAGCTTGGAGAAGTGATTTAAAGAGGCACATGCCTTCACCAAGCAAATGCATTTAAAGTTGCTTTCTTTTTCTGCTACCCCCCACCTCAAGCCTACCTAAGAAGGGGAACACTGGCTGGGGAAAGGAAAACTGATCAGGGAGGCATGCCTCCCCTTCACTTTCCCAGCAGTCCTGCTGGGAGCCACATAATATATGTGAAAGAGCTGCATGTGGCTCCCAAGTCACAGTTTGGCCACCCCTGCACCAGATGTTTGAGAACCGCAAGACATGAACAAATATTACATGTTTTTATTGAAAAATATGCATATTTGCTTTTTATTATCATTAAATGAGACTGCCAAAAATAAAAATAAAAGGGGTAAAAACAGATATTAATAATATTTATTTGTCCAATGATATTTGTTTGCTAATTATGTTTATTTGTCTAAGAGAGAGAGGGGTGAAAAGAAAGAATGAAAGAGGTGGAGAGAAAGAGAGAGAAAAAGAAAGCAAATAGATGGCGGAGTGAGAGGGAAGGAAGAGAGAGAGGAAGAAAGAGAAAGACAAAGAAAGAAACAAAGAAAGCAAATAGAAAGAGGGAGGGAGGTAGAAAGAAAGCAAATAAATGGGGAAGGAGGGAGGGAAGGAGAGGTGGAACAAAAGCAACTTTAACTTTAAATGTTCTCCAACCCCTGCCCCACTAGCCAGCTTGGGTTGGAGAAGGGATTTAAAGGGACAACTGCCTTCTCCAAGCTGGTGGGTGGGGCCGCGGTGCGGAGACTTGGAAAATGCCTTTAATTTTAAATGTGTTCTCCAAGCCCCTCGACCCTGCTGCCACATTGGCTTGGCTTGGGGAATGGATTTAGAGACAAATGCCTTCTCCAAGCCAGCCGGCGGGGCAGTGGACTGGAGCTTGAAGAATACATTTAACTTTAGATGCTAGGGAAGAAAGCGAGAGCGAAAGAGAAAGCAAATAGATGGGAGAAGGGAGGGAGAGGTGGAAAGAAAGCAACTTTAAATATGTCCTCCAAGCCCCCACTCCACCTCCATGCTGGCTGGCTTTGCTTGGAGAAAGGATTTAGAAACAAATGCCTTCTCCAAGCTGACTGGTGGGGTGGTGGCAGCTTTGAGAACACATTTGGAGGTAAAGCTGCTTTCTTTCTCTGCTCCCCCCCCCCAAGCCTACCCAGGGAGGGGAACACTGGCTCGGGAAGGGAAGACTGATCGGGCAGGCACGTCTCCCCTTCACTTCCCCAGCTGCCCTGACGGGAGCCGCACAATATGTATGAAAGAGCCGCATGTGCTCCTGAGCTGCAGTTTGGCCACCCCTGATTATCAGTGCAAATGCATTGCTGGGTGATGCTAGTGTTACTGGCGTGTTTCTGGAATGCCTCAAAACAAGTAGGAGAGCCTTGTAATGATGTTTAGTGTTATAATGCCTGTACTGAAGACTGAGGGAGGTGGCCCCATCATCTAGAATAAAGATCTCCACAAGAGTGTGTTTTGAGAATGATGGAAAGCAGCTAACAGCCTCATCTAGTTAGAAACTGTGTACAGAAAATGTTAAATGAGGGGGCATGTAGCAGTCATAGCCAACAATGGTTTGTAGGATATCAACACAGACCAAGTCTCCTGACTCACACACACAAAGTAGTGGGAGAGGGTTCCCTTCATCGCTAGTGACAGGGCTGCTATGTTCAGTTTGGGAAACTTTTGAGGATATGGAGGTGGTGCCTGAGGATGTGATATCATAGAGTCTACCTTATGAAGCTTCCATTTCCTTCAGGAGAAACAATCTCTGCTGCCTGGAGATCATCTGTAGTTCCAGGAGGACTTCAGCATCCCCCTTCCTGAAGTTGGCAACCTACTCAGAAAGCATGTATTGTACTACAATTCAACTGTTGAGAATTTTTTTGCTGCCTGTTTCAGCAGGCCCCTGGAAGAGTCCAAACCAGCCACTGCTGGAAAGGGCCCAAGAGTACAACAAATAGAACAAGCACCTGAAACTTTTCTATACATGGAGATAAATGACATCACCTTATAATTAGGCCTTTACTAAAGAGCTGTGGTGGCTCAAGTGGTTAAGACGCAGGCTGTGGAAGGTCGGTAGTTCAGCAGTTCGAGACCTGAGTGTGCCACATGACGGAGTGAGCTCCCGTCTCTAGTTCCAGCTCCTGCCAACCTAGCAGTTCGAAAGCAAGAAATTGCAAGTAGATAAATAGGTACCACTTCGGTGGGAATGTAACAGCGTTCCGTGCACCTTGGTGTTTAGTCATGCCGGCCACATGACCACGGAAATGTCTTCGGACAGCGCTGGCTCTTCGGCTTTGAAACGGAGATGAGCACCGCAACCCTAGAGTCGGATTCGACTGGCTTTCGAGCAAGGGAACCTTTGCCTTTACCTACAGGGACAAGACATTTTTTTCTCCAGGCAACTCACAACTCTCTCCTCCAGTCAGACGCTGGAAGAAGCCAAACCTCACTGCCCAGGAAAAAGACTCCACTACAGGGGCATAAACCAGTTTATCCTCCGCTGCAGGCAGCTCACACTCTTTTAAACGACCACGGCCGCTTACTGGTTTTTCCAGTCCTGCTTCTGGAGCGGTGGGGGGGGGGGGGGGGGAACACGCCACCGCTCTCATAACGGGCCTTCCTGCCACCAAGAGGGCATCCTGGGGAGCGGAAGTCCGGGCCTCTGGGCGCGCTTTCATGTTGACACGACTTCCAGTCCCATTCTTGGAGCCGGTTTCTGGAGGACGAGCGCCGCCGCCCAGGATTGGTTAATGACCTTTCTGCCTGTCGCGAGAACAGGTCCGGCTAGCACATTGTCCGCGCTTGCGCTGTCGCGTTGGGTGGCACCTGTCAAAATGGCGGCGCCCTTGTGGAGACCGGCGTGGCAGGGCTTACAGGCGAGTAGGGGTAGTTTTAGTCTTCCTTTATCATCATCATTGGGGTGGGAGGGGGAAGCTATGGGCAGCGAGCAGATTTGGCTGTGTTTTTTGGTCTTATTAGAATGTGTTGCCCTAGGCGGCCCAGCTTCCTTCGTCCTTGGGTCACACGTTGCAGAGCGTTGTCGCGCGTCATTTCTTTTTGTTTTATTTGTTTCACGCGTAAAGAGATCGTAGGTTTACCCCTAACAAGTGAAGCGGGTTGCCTAGGTTCTAGGTCAAGAAGGCACAGGAACCGGAACTTGCCTCCCCCTTGGCTTCCGGGTGGGTCGTCGCACGTGCATATATAGGGGAAGGGTGGTAGAGAAAGGTCCTTTGGCAGGTAAGAGGAGCAAAAGACCTTTAGTTGCGCTGTGTTGGTTTACTTTCTCTGGTGGAAAGAATTTTTTAAAAAGCAATGGAAATGAAAAGCTCACGTGCATTTTAGAAAGCGCCTGCTTTTGCTTTCTCTTATCGCCAGTACAGAATGTGCTTAACAAATGAACAGTGTATCAGCTCTGCCCAAGGGCATGGCAACAGCTGCAAAATAGCAGGGCCAGGGAAAGACTAAAGAGATACGAAGTAAATTGCCCTATGTACAGTGTGGCCAGACTTGGACTACAATCTACAGTTCTGTTCCCCTGCTATCAAAAAAGATGGAGAGCTTTCCTCGTTGAAAGACTAGTTTGGTGTAGTGGTTAAGTGCGCGGACTCTAATCTGGGAGAACCGGGTTTGATTCCCTACTCCTCCACTTGCACCTGGCTGGATGACCTTGGGGTTCTTGAAAAAGAGCAGTTTCTGTCAAGAGTTCTCTCAGCCCCACCTACCTCACAGGGTGTCTGTTGTGGGGAGGGGAAGGGAAGGGAAAGGAGTTTGTAAGCTGCTCTGAGACACCTTTGGGTAGTGAAGGGCGGCGTATAAATCCAATCTCCTCTTCTTCTAGTTTCTGGAGCTTTTCTTGGTCTTTTAAAAAAAAATTTAACTTAAGGGATAGAGGTATACACAATTATAAGTAGAAGAAGAGTAAGTTTTTATACCCTGCTTTTCCCTACCTTGACTCTCAAAGTGCCTTACAATTGCCTTTCCCTTGCTCTCACCACAACAGGCACCATGTGAGGTAGGTAGGGCTGAGAGAACTGTGACTGACTCAAGGTCACCCAGCAGGCTTCACTTGGAGGAGTGGGGAATCAAACCCAGTTATCCAGATTAGAGACTGCTGCTCTTAAACACTACACCACGCTGGTTCTCCGTATGGGAAAAGAATGGCTAGAAAATGTCCCTGATAGTACTTGAGAACTTTATTAAATGCTTTCTTTTTCTCCAAGGATTCATGGCAGTAAATACCAGCTGGTAAAGAGCTTAGTAAAACAAATATATGTGGTCATATGAAACTGCTTGATACTGAGCCAGACTATTGGCCTATTTAGTTCAGTATTGTCTTATCTGACTGACTGCTCCGACTCAGCCAGGCAGGGGCACCACAAAAAGGCCCCCAGTTACCCCAAGGCCCAGGGCGGGATACAACAAAGGACGTTTCCCTGGGGCCTTCCAGAGAGGTTGGGTGGCGGTGGGGGCAGCGGGCACGGGCAGGGAGGCAGCGGGGCGGTGTGCCTGTAGCAGCAGCAGCTGGGGGGGGAGCCGGCATTGCCGTGCGGGGTTTCCTCCCTCCCTGTCTCTGAGCGCCATGAGTGGCCAGAAGGACCCAGCGGCGTGGGGCGCCCGCTGGCTCACGCCCTTCCGAACGGCACACCCGGCGGCAGTTTCATAAGTAGGAGGTTCCCTGACACACACCCCCAGGGCAGCGGCCGGACCAGTCTCCGGCGCCTGCCTGCCTGGTCACCCCGGCCCCTCTTGTCCCCGCCAGGACGTCTTACAAGATGGGCGGACCCCAATCACTGAGTGTCTGGCTGGGTGGGCCGGCCCGTACCGCCCGCTCTGACAGATGGCCGCCTGCCTGCCTCATCTGGGTTAGGGTGGGCTTTTTGGTGGGGGCGGGGCCGCCGTGTGCAGTTTGATGTGGTGGTGCCCAGCCCTAGGGCCACTGGCCAGTCAGAGGCGGTGGCGGCAGCGCTCACCTGGTCAGGGAAGCCAGGGAGATCATCATTTAGGGCTTTTGGCAGGGGCTGGGGGGCTTTGGCGGGGGGGAGGCCGGGTCCTGTTTGGCGCCTCTAAGGGGTCAGGGCCAGCCCGCGCACTAGGCGAATGCCTAGTTCGCCTAGTGGGTGAGCCGGCCCTGACAACAACAACTGAGAAAGACAGCCCTGTCTGGCTCCACCATTTACATCCTGTGCCTGCCACATGTATATGATAGAGATCAAGTAGCTGATGAGCAATGCAGACCATAGAATATACTAACATGAATGTTGCCGCCATCCCTAAGTACTTAGTTTACATCTAGCTAGCACTTTATGACATTAGATTGTTTTTATACTGAGCCAGACTATTGGCCTATTTAGTTCAGTATTGTCTTATCTGACTGACTGCTCCGTCTCAGCCAGGCAGGGGTGCCACAAAATGGTTTTATCTATGTTATAATTGTTCACTTATGTTTTATTCTTCTGTAAGCCGCTCTGAGCCTGCTCTGGTGGGGAGGGTGCGGTATAAATTGAATGAATGAATGGATGAATGGATAAATAAATAAATACTCAGTGTTGCCTGAGTAGAGAAAGTGGAGTATATATTTCAGGTTGGAGAACTAGAGAGGTGGAGTATATTTCAAACTAAAACCTTGGGAGATAAAAGTGATAAAGAAGAACTGCCGTGGTGCATGTAGGACTAGAGGTACCGTAGGACCAGAACCATTGCAGAACAGTGCCTCCTGGTCTCAAAAGGCAATCCAGAAGGATTCCATGATTAAAAGCCACAGAAAGAATGAACAGTCACACTCCCCCTGTCCATCTCATGGCACATGTTATCCATCAGGGTAACCAAGGCTGTTTCAGTCCCATAACTAGGTCTGAAACCAGATTGGAATGGATCTAAACAGTCTTCATTCAGGTGTCTCTGAAGTTGACCAGCCACCACTCATTCAGTCACCATGCTCAAGAATGGTACGTTTGAAGAAGATGAGAAGAGATTGGATTTATCCCCTGCCCTTCACTACCCAAGGGAGTCTCAGAGCGGCTTACAAACTCCTTTCCCTTCCCTTCCCCTCCCCACAACAGACACCCTGTGAGGTAGGTGTGGCTGAGAGAGCTCTGACAGAAACTGCTCTTTTTCAAGAACATCTGTGCCAAAACTATGGCTTGCCCAAGGTCATCCAACAGGTGCAAGTGGAGGAGTGGGGAATCAAACCCGGTTCTCCCAGATTAGAGTCCACGCACTTAACCACTACACCAAACTGGCTCTGGATGGTAGTTATTCAACTCTACCAAGTCCAGAGTAGGTTTCTTTAGGATTGACCGCACCACTGCTTGCTTCAGGGCAGGAGCAACCACCATGTCTCTCAGGCAAATATTTACTGTCTCCCAGACCCAGTCTGCCATCCCTCCCCCCCCCAGCAGATTTAAGCAGCTAATAGGTGTGAGGGTCATACAAACAGGTGAGAGGTCTCAAACTTTCCCAAGTTCTGTTCACATCCTCAGAAGTGGATACAAGTGGACAAATTAGCACCTTCAGACCATCTGATCCAGTTGCTGCTACAAGCGTGAGATTTTATCTGCAAAGTGCTTAGCAAAATGATAGCAACAGGTTGCAGCACAGTCCACCTCCTGCTGACCACAACCCAATAGGCCCCTGACTACCTAGAGGAGTTCTGCATATCTACATTGTGTGGATTGCATCTTTGCCACCATCACTGCCACTCAGTAGACTTTCAAATGAGCTCTAGCCCATGCCTTGTCAGATTCATCCTGTCTCTTTCTCCACCATTGCTAGCTGTCTCTCCTGTCTTTTCATCATCTGCTGCCCCTCAGTAAACCAAGGGGCTGCCCCAGCTTGTTGACCTGAGAGAGGGTGACTAAGTGCAATTGGGTCAACTGTCCAGGTCATTTCTTCATTCCAGAGGTCAACTACAGCATGAACAGCCATGTCAACCATATCAGCAGGAAAATCCCTCAATGTCATCTGAAAACAATACACCCCTGTGTATTGGTACCCCTGTAAGTCTAAACCCCAGCAAGTAGGAAAGCTCCGCAGCCATGTGACTCTTGCTAATTGTACTGTACTTTATCAGGCCTTTTCAGGAAAACTTGACCGTATTTCCTGGATCCTTTGTTCAAGGCAGGGTTTCCAGACCACAGCTACCTGTCATAAGGTAAGAGACTGATGGGTCCAGTGTTCACATGGGTGTTTGGCATGAAAAATTATGGGTATTCCGTTCTTTCGCAGAAAAAAAATATCCATTGTGTTCTAGGGAATGGTTGGTCAACTAGCTTTTTAAAATGTACCCACTAGATAAGTAAATCTCTTATAAATGGGCATTTAGTATCTGAAACTACTTGAGAATCTGTTAAATGTTTTCATATTTTTAAAATTTTGAGATTTTGGTACTTTGTTCTAGTTTAATTAAAGATTTGTACACATGAAGCTGCCATACAGAAACAGACCATTGGTCTATCAAGGTTGCCTGACCAGCAATGGCTCTGTAGGGTTTGGCCAACATCTTTCTCATCACTTGCTGTCTGTTCCTTTTAACTGGAGATTGAACCCGGGACCTTCTGCATGCAAAGAAGATGCTCTATCATGGGGCTGCAGCCCCACCCTCTTGTGTTAGTTAAAAGGAAGCTTGTAATGTATGGTTCCACCCTTGTTTCACCTGGAGAGAAGCACTAAGCCCAATATAGCCTGAGAAATTATCCTTAGGAGATGGGCAGGGGGAGAAGCTGAAATTCTCCATGCACACAGAATCATAACTAGGGTTGTATTTTGCTATTATAGTATGAAATTGAGGGAGGGACGGAAACTGTTTTTCATCCTATGGGAAGGCTGATTTGAGCTCTTCAAATTCTTTGTTTCAGTTACGTTTCTCAGGCCCTTTTCACTCTAGCATAGTTTACTGTGTCCTGTACTGCTGAGGCTGTTAAGAACATAATGGGTTTTGCCACTGAAAGGTGCAGAAAGCATATCATGCACTAAACACATATTTCCCTTCCCATTATAATCATTCCTCTATCCTTGTGTTGCAGAATCGAGCGGCTCGGGTTCGTGTTGGGAAAGGAGATAAGCCTGTGACATATGAGCAAGCCCACCCACCCCATTATATTGCTCATCGCAAGGGGTGGCTCTCCCAACACACAAGTGAGTGAAGGGGGGGAGGGAATGTGCACACTTTCTTCCCAAATTCTGTTTCCTTTTCCTAAAATCTCCATTGAAAAGGAAGAGCCGAGATGGGGCTGCAGCAAAAGCCCAGCCTCACTTCTTGCTTTGCTCTAGAGAGACCTTTCTTTGGGTCGATTGCCTACTTTAGATGAAGGGCTTTTCTCATTGAGTGATTCCCCCCTCCCTGCTTGCACAGTTTCTGTTTCGAGAGGAGGATTAGCTGCCCAATTAATCATCCTGCATTCCTCAGTGGGATATAGCAGTTCATAGGTGCTGGTGATTCTTCCACGTGAGACAGCCTTCCATTTGTGTGCCGGGGCTCAGAATGTACTCTGAGCCACAGCTTGACTGGATAACCCATTTTGGCGCAAAGTGAAAGCTGCAGCTTAGAAGCAAACAGGAATAGTTTGCACCTGAGGTTCGGCTTTTTGATTGGAAAGTGTTTGCATCTTGACCCGGTCCGTGTTTATTCAAATGGAAGTATCCTGATCAGGAAGCAAATACAATGGGTTTCTTATCTCATCCTTCTTCTATGAAATTCAGTGCAGCATATGCAGTGGTCACTTCCAGACTGGATTATTGTAATTCTCTCTACATGGGGCTGCCCTTGGCTATGCTCCGGAAACTGCAGCTACTGCAGAACGCAACAGCATGGGTGTTGACTTCGTTGTCTGTGCAGACGCATATCCACCCTGTGCTGCACAAACTGCACTGGCTGCCTATTGAGTACTGGATCTATTTCAAGGTGCTGGTGCTTACCTTCAAAGCCCTATATGGCCAGGCGCCTGCATATCTGTGAGACGGCCTCTCCCACTATGAGCCCCAAAGGAATTTACAATCTGCCAATCAGCATCTTCTGGTTGTCCCCGGCCCCAGGGATATCCGTCTTGCCTCAACTAGGGCCGAGGCTTTTTCGGCCCTGACCCCTACCTGGTGGAATGAGTTCCCACATGAGATCAGGGCCCTGCGGGACTGTTTACAGTTCCGCGGGGCCTGTAAGACGGAGCTCTTCCACCAGGCTTTTAGCTGAGGCGGTGGGTGTCACCCTCCTTTATTGGGCCTCCCCTTCAGCGGGTCAGATCTATGTTTACCACCTAGGAACCCAATCTGAAAAACCTCATCTGTTGAGGCACTGATTAGCGCATAGGAATTTAGTTGTATTTTAATTGTTTTTAAGTTTTTGTGTGTGGTAGTTGATGGAACCCGCCCTGAGCCCGCTGTGCGGGGAGGGCAGGATACAAATCTAACAGAATGAATAAATAAAAATAAATCTGGTTTGCTCTCACAACAATCCTGTGGGGCATATTAGTGCATGAGTATCTGGCGCTTCATGGCCAGGGGATTTGAACCTAGGTCTTCTCAGTCCTAATCCAGCTCTAAACACTACACTGGCCTTGCCCCTCATTGTGCTCTGTGTTTCCCTGCCTGCCCTGTAGGTAATCTGGATGGCGAGAGTGGAGCTGCCGAGCGCACAGTGGAGGATGTCTTCATTCGCAAGTTCATTTATGGCACCTTCCATGGCTGTCTTGCCAATGAAATTGTGCTGAAGCGCCGTGCCAATACTTTGATCATCTGTGCTATTTTTGTACAGAAGCTGCCGCCCTCTAAGTTCTATTTCCTGATTGGCTACACAGAGGTGCTTCTCTCCTTCCTGTACAAATGCCCTGTCAAGATGGAAGTGCAGACAGTCCCTAACAAAGTTGTCTATAAGTATCTGTAGTCTTGGCTAGGTGCAGCTCCAGTGGATCCCTGAACCAAGGCTGAATTGGACTTCTTGCCTAGCTCATGTTGCTTCCTGGCCAGTGATTCCCATGGACCAGTTACCAGGGACTGGGAGGAGCTCCTGCTTGAAGAATGCAAAGTTTGCAAGTGGAAACTCAAAGGACTTGTATCTTGGCTTGGACTTGGAGAGGAGGTGGGGTTGGATGTTGATGCAGTCCAAACAAAGAGTACTTGGTGCCCCTACATGTAGTTGTTTGTAGATCACTGTTTCCTGAGCCTGCAGAATGTATGGTTGCACTGCCAGGCAACTGAAGCCTATTGAAAACTCTTGGCTGAACCCTTGCTAATTTGCTACAGGAAAAGGGGCTTGAAATCTCTATGCTGCCACAGGAGTCTCAGCACTTACACAGGCCAATTCAAAGCATCTCCCCCCCCCCCACGCTGAAGCCTTTTGTCTTGCATCTTGCACTTCAAAGGCAGTAATGAAATGTCTTCTGGGTAGCTGTCCTCTTGCCCTCACGCCTCCTATGGGAGCTCAAACTGTCACTTTCAGTTAGATGAGTGGAGGTGAAGACTAGCTGCTGGAGGCAAAACTTTCCAGGCTGAGGATGGTTAACATAACACTGGAAGGGGGGCAGGCCCATCATTGTCAGCCATCATCAGGGCATAGGAGGGGCACTTTCTGACACTTGCATAACTGCATTCCAGACGTTATACCAAATCAGAGTAGTCCTGCTGCAGAGAGAGAAAAATGCATCCCCCCCCCCCCCAGCATAGATGCATTGCAGTTTGGCATGCTGAGAAAATGTAAATTCCATGGGTTACATGTCTGAAGATTCCTAAATTCCATGTAGCAAAGGAGCAGCAAATGTATGTTACAATAGAATGCCTGGGAAACTTCTGAACAAGAGAGAGCCCCCCCCCTACCGCTTTTGTAGTGATAAAGAAAAGCAGACTTGGATTGTTTGTGTTTTTAAATCAAAAGGTAAATAATGGCTTGAGTTGGTTGACTGCTGTTTCACTGCCCATGCAGCCCCCCATGCCCAGATGCAGCAGAACTTCCAGCTGGGGGAGCAGAGACTGTGTCCCATGGTTAGACTGGAGGGCACACGATGCAGCAGGGTCAGGGCGTGGATGGAAGAGCCCCTGGGAATCTTGTATGCCCTCCTCGGAGTTTCATTATAAAGTTTAGAGGTAAACTCTTGCCATTTGAGTTCTGGGAAAACATATCCTTACAACAGAAGATCCACTGCCTTGAGATGGTCCCTCAAAGTGGCTAGATACCCTGTAACAGGTTCACCGCCTTGTGTCTCTTGCAGAGCTGGAAAAAGTACAGAAGAGGGCAATCAAGATGATTATGGGGTTGCAGCAGCATCTTCCCTATGAGGAAAGCCTGAAGAGTCTGGGACTTTTCAGTTTAGAAAAGAGATGACCGGGGGGGGGGGGGGGACGAAACTATGCACACCATGGAGAGAGTTGACAGAGAACTTCTTCTCTTGTTCCCAGAATACTAGATCCAGTGGGTATCCAGTGATGCTGATGTGCAGTATATTCTGGACAGACAAAAAGGAATACTTCTTTACACAGCAAGTGATTAAAATGTGGAATTGGCTGCCAGAGGATGTAGTGATGGCCACAGGCACAGACAGCTTTAAAAGGGAATTAGGCAGGTTTAATGAGGATAGGTCTACCAGTGGCTACTAGCTACGGTGAGTAAAGGGAACCTACATGTTCAGAGGTAGTCAGCCTCTGAATCCCAGTGCCAGGAGGCAATATCAGGGGAAAGCCTCTGCACTGTGGTTGGCCTTCAAGAGGAACTGGTCGGTCACTTTGTGAGACAGGATGGTGGACTAGTTGGACTACTGGTCTGATCCAGCAGGGCTCTTGTGTTCTTATGAAACAGCAACGTGCTCTAAAAGCAATGGTGTGAATAAGCCTATATCTTAACAGGGTGTTCTGATCACACAGCTAAGGCTCTGGAGCAGTGAACTGAAGATCATGGATAGAAAAGGTGCCATATAGTTCCCAGAGACAGAAGTTAGGTGCTACTTCCATGACTGTTCCTGACGAAAGAGAAGACGCTCTTCCTCCTCATGCATCCAAGAGGCAGGGAGCGCAACACGTGCATTCATCTTCAGAATCCTTTTTGTCCCATTTCATGTCTGTTGGTTGAGCCCTGACCCTGCAAATTGATTGCGAGGGTAATTTCCAGTGAGTCCTGGCAGAGGCAACCTGTACTAATCCAATTTAATTTTAGTGTAATCAACAAGGCTGATGACCAGTTGGGCTCCTGGGGTGCTGCCCCTACCACCTGGTTGCACCTGGTGACTCTTGGCAGGACTGATGCCAGCCAGAGCATGTGACACCACACAAACTGGTCTGATGCAGAATCCTCCATCCCAGCTGAATCACTGGGAGTGAATCATTTACCAGATATCACGGGATGGGGAGGGATGGGGGCCAAGGATAGGCAACACCAAGAACTGCGGTTTCTTTGGTGGTAGTGCTACTATGAACTCCCATCAGATCTGATATTAATCATGAGAGGGACAAGGGAGGGGGGAAATCACCCTCTCCGTTCCTTAAAGTCAAATGAACTCAATGCCCAGCGTTATGTTGCAACTATGCCCTCTTCCTTTCTAAGTAATGCCTTTGGGGCAGAGACCCAAGGTGTAATCAGAGTGAACAGAAATACTTAGCTCCCATCTCTTAACTCATTGAAAGTCCTGCCCCCAAACTGGAGGCCCCATCAGCACTATTTGAATTGTACAAATAAATATATGTTTCCTACTATAGAGGCTCTGGGATGCCCAATAACTTGTGCTTGTAGTGACTGATGTCCCTAGAACAGTGATTTTCAACACATTTTTGGGCTGAGGAACCCAAGTAACATATTAGACCCCCTACTCCCTCCTCTTGCTTCCCACTGTAAAAGCTGGTTATTTCTCCCGCCCCAGTGGTACAATATTAAAGTTAACCTTTACATTCCAGAACACAATTGTGGTATCATTGCCCTGCCTATACAAACCTAAATAAAATTAATCCAGAGCTATTCTTTCCTGTTTTGTTGTTCCACTCAAAAATAAAAGACTGATTTTGAACATTCTGCAGTGAAGGATGATGCAAGATGCATCACATGGCAGACCAGGCCACATGTTACTCATGGCACTCCCATATTCAGAATGAGTGTAACTGTCTGGTGCAAGAAGGTCATAAAATTTGGAAGCTGGGCGGTCATAAAATTTCATGGCTCTCCTGGAGAATGCTTGTATAACCTAAGAACACTGTGGAACCCTGGTTGAAAAAATGATCTCCAGTGAAGCTCTTCATATTCTTTCTGAAGTTGGGGAGGTGCATCCCCACCGGGAGTCATTTCCCTGCAGTAGCATTCCACATCCTTGTTGACAGTATTCCCAAGAAGGCATGGGTTTCAGCCTTACACTGGACAGAATGGGCTGGGAGTTTTTCCATCAGAACTAGGGGAGCAACAGGGCTCAGTCAAGCTGGGAACCACCCCTTCTCAGGATCTCTATTGGGGTTCTACCTCCAATTATATCCCCATTTATCAGAAAACAGCCTGCAACCCATGTTGGGGCGGCTAAGCCCCACCCACCCATACATTTATCTGCAGCAAATCTATATGAGATGATACTAGCGTTGAAATCTTAAACATGCTTGCTTAGAGGTAAGCCACATTTCAATCAGCTAGCATAATGCACATCGGACCCATAGCCATGCAGTGGATGGACCTCTTGCTATTAATGAAGCAATATTGAACTGGGCATGGGGTGTCTCATCAAGCATAGCAAGATGGGACTAATGAACCTTAACTCTTCCGTTTTGGGCCTTCCTGCTGGGTTAATGATGCAGACAATGGCAGCAGGACACTGGCTGCCAGATCTCCAAGGACTGATTGCTCTGCGATGTCTCTGAACTTTGTCCTGCAGGAGACCAGACCAAGGTTCTGCTGCATAAGCCTGGGAGGGTGGGGAGGGGAGAATAGGATAGTTATTGATGCATTGAATTGGTTTATACTTATATTGCTCTTATCATTTGGTACATTCCAATTGTTTCCACGTGACAGCCTGTAGGAACAGGCTGGAGAGAACAGTTTGTACAAGCCGACACAGAGAGCCATGGTTAAGGTAGATGTGAGGTGTCTTCCACCCAGGTCAAGCTTCTAGCTGCTGGGCCAGCCTGGTTTTGATGGGCATGCAGTCAATGGCACTTGTTCAGCTGATCTCATGTAATGGAGGGGAGTATAGGAACTGGTCACAGAAACCCCAGCCATACATTCCCTCTCAGCTCCATTAGCAAGAAGATTGCAAATGAACATTTTGTAACCTTAAACCAATTTGAATGATAATCCAATGCTTTTCCACAGCTACAAGTGCAACTGCAGGGGCCCTCTTGGCTATACCTAATGTTTAGTTCATCCAGAAGCCCAGAATTACCTTCCTTCTGCCATGTGCAGGTCAGAGGAGAGCTATTTCTTGGCCATTATGGGCTATCCTTTCCAGGGCTTCCTAGCAGCTGCTCAGACATTCTGCAATGGAGGAAGAAAATTCTGAGCTGCTTTGAAGTGATCGTGTCTGAAGGAGGCATCTATACAGGAGAGGAGAGATGGGCAGTTTCCTTAAACTAAGACCCAGTTTGGTGTAGTGGTTAAGTGCATGGACTCTAATCTGGAAGAACCGGGTTTGATTCCCCACTCCTCCACTTGCAGCTGCTGGATGACCTTGGGCAAGCCATAGTTCTGAGAGCTGTTCTCTCAAGGACAGTTCTGGAAAGAGCTCTCACAGCTCCATCTACCTCACAGGGTGTCTGTTGTGGGAAGGGAAAGGCGTTTGTAAGCCGCTCTGAGACTCCGAGTAAAGGGCGGGATATGAATCCAATCTCCTCTTCTTCTAGGGTGGGCCCATTGACTGCTGAGTGTCCAAAAAGACAGAAGTAAAGCTCCATCCCTGAGAGATGAAGACTCTGAATCACTGCAAGCGTTTCCTTGGCTTGCTAAGTCCACAGCATCATTAAGGTCTTTTTAATGAACATGCCACAGCTTGGTTTGTCAGGTTGCATCTTTAATCAATTCAGTGTCTGGTGCATGATCTAGTGTGCCAATAGGTGTGAGTTAAAAACAACACCGTTTGCAGTGTGAGGAGAGAGGGTGTTAGCCATGGGGCCAGTTATTCCAGGCTCAGTTATTTTTACATTGCAGTGCGGAAGAAGAGCCAGTCAAGGAGTAAAGGAAAAACCAGGAAAGCCACTTGGAAGACATAAGCAACTTTCACTTAGCTCCTGGCCAGTTGCTCAGTGAAAACTGCAGGGAAGAGGGGTCATGTGCTGGCACCCTGTGCGTTAGTTTTTCTCTTGTGGCCAATTGGTACCTGGCTACTTTACATTTTAGCCAGAAAGGTTTTCTGGCATAGTTTAAATTTGAGCCATAAGAATATTTCACACCTTCATACATTTTAATTAGTTCATATGGCAAAAGAGAAATTCCTGTCTGGACATTTCCCAGGCCCCACTGCTTGAAAGGAGGGGGCAACGCCGCTTCCCAGAAAGAAATGTCTAAACTGCTCTTCAGCCTTTCAGATCCTTAAAACAGCTTAGCATGTAAGAAAGCCTTTAAAAAATAGCCCAGATATAAAATGGGCAGATCACAGCATTTAAGCAAGGCCAGCAACCTTTTATAATGAAAGAGCCAAACTACTTCAAAAATCAACTAAGAGGCAGGATGGGGAAGCCCATTTGCACAGCTGAAAATATATGTCTTGAGGACTTCCGGTCTATGGAACAGCGATGGCGGAAGCTCTTCCCTCGACAGGGAAGGGCGGTTTGCACACCAGCGGCCTGGAGGGGTGCCACCTCAAGTGACACCCCCGAGGAGCCTTTGTGATAGGCTCCAGGCCAGGGGGCTTTTGAGGGGTAGCCTCTTCGAAGG